TTTGGTTGTTGTGAGCTGTGTTGGAAGAGGCAAAGGCAGAGGTGGAAGGGCGTTCAGCCTGTGTCTGATCTTGACCACCAACACCAGGATTGCGAGATTTGGATGGGCGTTTTGGGCCTCTCGTAATCAACTGGCGGAACCAAGACGTTCGTCTCTGGTGTGCCTGGGAGATATCTTTGCCACTGCCAGCATCTGCCTCACCGGCTTCACGAGCCTTCGTCGGGTCCTGCTCCTGACAATCCTGTACCTGCTCAGGCTTATCATCGCAGGTTTCGCGCACATCATAACCCAGCTGCTGCACCCTCTTCTCCACCTTATAGACGTCGCTCATCAACAGTCTCCTGCACCGTTTTGCGGGAATGACATCCACGCCAAGAGATGCCAAATACCGTTGAAACGACAAATCAGGGTCAGGGTCTGAGCAAGGGAAATGTTTGCCCTTGCTGCAGATGCCACCGCCACCTCTGGCACCGTTCAAGTCGTGGAACAAACGTGAGGGCTGCTCGGCCGAGTCAACGACGTAGAGTGTCTCCAGACGGAGTGTCTGGCGCAAGTGCACCGGAAGGTTGGCTCTCGCCCAGATGGTTGACTGAGCTCGTTGACGACCGATTTCGAGAACCTGAAGGGCGCAAGTCAAGGGGTCGATGAGGTAGTAAGGGAGTTTGGATCTGTCGGAGAGATTGGGATTGGTGGCTCGCCAATGATTGGTAACATCGCGGATCCAGTCCGATGTGGTACGTGACACAGTCAGTTTGAATTGCCGTTTGGACGGAACAGACTCGGTGGTCGAGGTCGAGGAAGCCTTTGAAAAGATAGTCGAGGTAGTGGTAGCCAGGGTCTCAAGACTGGACTCCGAAGGGGACGTTGAAAATGTCGGGAAAGGGGTAACCGATGAGGTCGACGAGGAAGAGGATGCAAGACTACCACGTCTAAGCTCTCCCGGCTTCTGAACGGTGTAGAGCTTAGGTGCTTCTTCTCCCCGTGATTGACACAGCTTGCTGACGACGCGGACATCTCTGTCCCACGTTTTTGTGGATGGCGGCGAGAAGAAGATGATTGAAGTAATGCGAGTGACTGGAGACTCGAAGTCTTTCTTTGAACTTGTGCTGCTCGTAGGGCTGACAGAAACATATGCCACGGTCCGCTCTCTATGCTTGACCGGGATGTACTGGCCCTGGAACGAATCGGGTGTCGAAGGGTTTGTTAATGTCGGTGACTCCGTATGATCATCTGCGTTCGCTTCATCTTTCTCTTCCTTGACCCCAACCTGCTTCTCTGACACCGTGCCGTCATCATCTGTGCTTTCCTCGTCAATCTTATCCTCCGAGGAAAAGCAAAGACTCTCGACGACCTTCATGTCATCAAACGGGCAGCTCAGCCTGTTCCTCAAGCTCAGAAGCGGCTTCTGCAGATGTCCCTGGGTTTGGTCCTGCTTTGGGCTCGGGTCCTGCTCCTTTTGCTGTGCCTTCTGCGTCTTCTCTTCCTCTTTCTTCACGTCCTTCTCCTTCGCACTATCCCCCTCTTTCTTCTCCTCTTTTTTTCTCAGTCACCTCCATCCTCTTCCACATCCTCTCCACCTCCTCCGAGCTCACCACCCTCTCCGGCTGAAACCTCAACATCCTGGCCATCTCCCTGCACCTCTCCTCATTCTCACCAACTACCAACGTCCCCGTCACCTCTTCCATCTTCTCATCCTTCTTACCACCTTCGCCATATTTCCTGTCCTTCCCATCTTTGGCGGATTGCTGTTGACCCTGATCCTGGACAGCAACACTCCTCGACAAAGTCCACCTACCAACAACCTTCATCGGACAAATCGGCACCTTCAACCCAAGTACCCTGGTAATGGTCGCGGCTACCTCTTCTTCAGACGTGAACTCGTTATCGAATCCATCTTCGTCTCCATATCCACTCTCCTCTCCGCATACCCCAGCCCCAGCCCCGCCCACTCCATCCTCACTCCTCAGACCAGAAGCAGATGACGACCCAGAAGGAGAAGGTTCCCAAACAATAACAAACGGTATCCCAACCGCTTGCAACCTCGCAATAGTCTCACCCGCCGATGGCCGTGGTAGGAGAGGATGTAGCAGCTTTACTGAGTGCTGGTGGAAGGGGTTTGGGTGGAAGTTTCCCTGTCCTGATTTCATGTTGGACTTACTAATGGGGTCGAGGTTGATCTTGATGTTTTTTTTTGTTACGGTTCGAAGTGGATGATGAATCAGAGGCGGAGCCAAAGCGGGAGTTGGAACCGGAGCCGGAGCTGGCTGAGTTAGAGCTGGTATACCCCCTTTCAGAGATGGAAGCGCTGTCGGAGACGGAGATGGGGAACCAAGTTGCGTCGCTGTTGCTGTTGTAGGTGCTGATGCTAGGTGGGCTTCCTGTGCTCCTTGGACGATAGATGAGGGTAGAGACGTGGAATATGAATGCTATTGTTGTTTGTGGATGTTTCTGTTTCTGGGATTGTGGTTGGGGTTGTGTCTGGGTATAAGCCTGCGTCTGAGGTTGTGCTTGTGTCTGTGTCGGAGGTCCTGCCTGTGTCTCGGGTCGAGGTCGTGTCTGATGTCGTGAAGTAGGCATAGGCAGAGGTTTGTTGGTGGCGTTCATCGTCGTCGGCGAGTTGTGACTGTGATTTTGGACGCCAGAGATCGTGATGATGGGATTTGGACCGGCCATGATCGTGACTTTAGTTGTGATCGCGGACCTGCCGTCTGCGAGCCTGGCCCGTAGCCCCGTGGAGTTGGTAGTGAGGGAGTTGAGGTGGTCGATTCGGGATCTGGGGGACTGACGGGCGAAGACAGACCGACGAGCAATAAGTTGAGGCGGACTGGCTGCGATACTTGGAGGACCCCGTCCTGCTTCCACTGCAGTGCTGCTGAAAGAAAAAAAAGCCGGGACGCGAATGTCTTACTAGAGGTAGGTATAAGTAATCGCTTCTTGATCCAATCAGCGTCGCAATATTATCATCGAACAATTGCAGATTCGAATTGCTCAGGCAGGGCCGCAATATTGTCGAAAAGTTTGGGAGTGTCTCTCCCGGGCCCAGTGTGGGAAACTAAGAGGCTGAAACCTGCAACACAGTCAGGTCAGGTCGGTCCTGACCGCCGCATACAAACTAACTGCGCAGGCACAACCCATCGCAACTTCCTTTCCACGTGGAAACAGTGCGTCATACCATTCACTCGAGCCCAGAAAGCGGTCGGGGACGAGACGAGACGGAACATTTCAGATGAAAAAGACGGGACGAACAACCAAACCACTGAAACTTCACTTGCTGCAGTGCGGTCACGCCGGGGTTAACGAAAAATAAACATGAAACTTGCACAATCCAGTAACAAACATATACCACATACATTGCAGGGTGTATCCGCAAACAACCAAAATGATTACCTACCTAATCATACATGCCACAACCCAATTACCCAAACACTTAATACCCATTAGCCTTCAACCAGCTCTTAACACCCTCGGCATCCCTAAGCTTGTACGACGCCCGTCCCCTAATCTTATCCTTGACCTGCTCCAGCGTCCTGTCGAAGCCCTTGGTGCTGACCTTGGTGAAGAAGTCCTCGATCTCCTTGAGCGTCTCGAGATCCGCAAACTTGGGCAAGCTGACCTGGATCATGCGGTCGACAAGAATGGGGTTGCCGCCGAGCTTGCCGTTGAACTTGTCCCAGTTGTCGCGGATGTAGGCCCAGAGAAGAGGACGAGCGATGCGGTTACCGGCCAAGTTGCCAGAGAGAATGTGCATGTCGGCGCCGGGAACAGAGTCTCTGGGGTGGGCGGGAGGCGCAGCGTCGAAGAGGAAGGGGAGGAGGACGTCCTTGACGAGGGCCTCGTCGGTGACCTGGCCGAGAGCCTGGAGGCAAACCTCCTTGCCGTCGATTGCGGGGGTGGTGAACCACTCGTGCTTGATAGCGGCAACGGCGTTGGCGGCGTCCCTCTTAATGGCAGCACGGTAGACGGGGAGACGGAGATCCGCAGGAATGGGAGCACCGGTAGGGTCGGCGCGCCAGGCGTTCCAGCGCTTGAAAGCCTCATCAATAACCTCCTCGTGCGAGTTGGCGACAGCAGTGAGGAGAAGACGCTTGCGGAGGAGAGGGATGTTGTAGTTCTCGCCGTGCTTGGGTTCCCAGCCAACCTCCTTGAGAGCCTTGTCAACAAGCTCCAGAGTGAACTTCTCGAGGCCCTTCTTGACCTCCTCATCATCGCCGAAGATGGACTTGAGGGTGTTGACCGAGTCCAAAGCTTGGCTAAGAACACGGTAGTGGGTCTCGTTCTTCAGGCCCTGGACGAAAGACAACAGAGCGGCAGTGGTGGAGTTGCCAGCAAATGCAAGATCGGCCGCGGAACCGGTGATGAAGATCTTGTCCTCGGTAGTAAGATGAGCGAGCTGAGTGCCCAGAGTCTTGAGACGAGACTCGGGGTAGTTGACGCGGTAGAAGCCGGTGGCGTTGGCATTGAGCTGGTAAAAGTCTTGGCTGACGCCGTCGATGGTGGTCTCCTTGGTCTGGAAAGACAAAGGCTCAATATCCTGGGAGCCAACCTTGCCCTTGAGGGACAGGGGAATCCACCAGGTGGTCTTGTCATCCTCAGGCTTGACATCGCCGGTAGAGAGGAAGCGGGCCTGCTTAACTGAAAGAGTCTGATCCTGACCCTCGGTAACGCTGACAACAGGGAAACCGAGTTCCTCAATCCAGGGGCGCATAATGGTCTTGACATCGACACCAGAAGCCTCGCTCAAGGCGTTCCAGAGAGCCTCGGTCTTGGCATTGCCGTAAGCGTGGCGCTGGAGGTAGAGGGCAATACCCTTGAGGAAAGTTTTGATACCAAGGTGGGAGGCCAACATGCGAATCATGGAACAACCCTTGAGGTAGCTGATCTTGTCGAAAATCTGGTTCACATCAAGAGCGTCGCGAACCTCGACCTGAATGGGGTGCGAAGCGCGGACAGAGTCGAGGAGGAAAGCCTGGTCCATACCCTCGTTAATGAACTGCGGCCACACCTCCCAGTCAGGGTGGAGGTGATCGGTCGCGAGCCAACCAGCCCAGGTAGCGAAACCCTCGTTAAGCCAAAGCTCATCCCACCAGTCCATGGTCACAAGGTTACCGAACCACTGATGGGCAAGTTCGTGGGCAACGACGTAAGCAATACGGTTGCGGAATCTGGCCTCGGAAAGCTTCTCGTCGAACAGAATAGCGGTCATGCGGTAAGTGACAAGACCCCAGTTCTCCATGGCGCCGTGGGTGAACTCGTGGACAGCCAGGATATCGCTCTTGGGGAGAGGGTAGTCAATCTCAAACTGCTCCGAGAAGTAGTCGATGATCTTGGGGGCGTGCTCAAGAGCCCACATGCCCTGCTCCTTGAGGCCGCGGGTGGTGTAGACACGGACGGGGAGCTTCTTGCCATTGTACTCGCGGTCGGTGAAGGCCTCGACGTACTCAAAGTCGCCAACAGCCCAGGCCAGGAGGTAGGTGCTCATGACAGGGCTGCGCTCGAAAGAGACAATCTTCTTGTTGGGACCGGAGGACTTGGTTTCCTTGACGGGCATGTTGGAGAGGGCGACCTGGTCCTCGGGGATCTCAATGGCGAAATCAAAGGTGGCCTTGAGGTTGGGCTCGTCGAAGCAGGGAAGGCGCGGCGAGCATCGCACGACTCGAACTGGGTGCTGAGCATGTAGTGGAACTCGTCGTCCCGGGGAACGCTGGCGGCGGCAGGGGCAGCGGGCTTGTACTGGGAGCGGTAGAAACCGGCCATGTCGTGGTTGAGCTCACCGGTGAACTCGAGGGTCAGGGAGACATTGTCGGCGACGGGAAGGTCCTCGGGGAAGGAGATGGTGGAGCGCTGGGCCTTGGTGTCCTCGGCGAAGGTGGTCGACTCCCATGATTTTTGGCCAGCCGTCAACTTGGCATTGAGGAGCTTGATTTCGAGGGTGTTGAGGACAATGTCCTTGGTGGGCTTGACGAGGTTACCGTCGATCCTGGATGTTGTCGCAAGTCAGATTTGCGCCTGAGAGATAAAGAGCCCAGGAAGTTGGAAAGCTAAAGCTTACCTTACGGTGCCCTTGTAGGACCACGAGTTGAAGTCGAGATCGCGGATCTCGAGATCATAGTGGGTGGGCTTGAAGTTGTCGGGGAGGATGTCGCGGTCCGTCATGTTTTCTCGGCGTTTGGCTCTGGCGTGGGCAGAGCAGTAGCGGGATCCAAGGACAAGAAAAGGGGGAGGAGCAGCAGCAGAAGTCTGGAGCTTGGGGCGATGGCGAGTAGTTGTAGTAGATCTTGGAAAAGTCCTGGGCGAAGAAGAAGAAAGAAGAGAAGAGGGGACCGACGACGAGATAGAGTGGAACCGGGAGACAGAAGATGGACGAATGACGAAAGAAGAAGCCGGCGTAGACCGTCTAGATGAGGAGGAGGGCGCTAACAACGGGCGGGAAGCTGCATGGATGTGACGAGTGCGGGGTGACTTGAGGTTTGTTGTTGTCGATGTTGATATAGTCCTCGTCAACCTCAGAGTCTTCCACCTGCCAATGGCAACTGCATTGGTCTTTGTCCTCACCGCTGCCAAATGCATTTTGTCTCTCTTTCACTAATGATCACCGATACCGTCCTTAAGACTGATGCTTCCAATTGCTGTCTGCCAGTCCAACAGGGGCACGGCACGGCACTGTGGTCAGAGTGATCTCGAAGCTCAACCCTGGTATGGAAGGACCAATTCCTGACAAACTAACAGCTTCCACTTCCCTTCCACTTCAGTTATTTTTTCTCTTTATTATCTCATATAACCCCACTGCAAGGGCCAATGTAGAGAGGCAATTGGATAACAGGAGTGACAAGGTGGGATCAGACCGTGTGAAACAGTAAGAAGTGAGTAAAAAGCTGCTGTCAAATGTGCGGTTTGCGTCGGGATGCGCCGAAGGAGGGTACCGAATAATATCTGGTGGATGCTTTGACTTCCACTTTCTCTCGCAACGAACAATGTCGATTTCGTCGGGATCCGGTCCAAAGACTCGTCGGGAAGCAAAAGATGGAGTAATGAAGATAGAAATAAGAAAAAGTCAAAAGGCAACTGCCAATTCAGGAACCTCAGGCTTCGGGCAACACGACAAGAAGGGAAGGCGGGAAAGAATGTCGAGCAGTCGAGCTTCCCCTGCTTCCCCTCCTCGCCGCGCGTGGAAGGTGGGTCCCTTCAAAGTTCTGACTTCTGACTTTTGACGGGGTCCCGCTTTTAGTGCGTTAGGCGGGGTCCGTCAGCTTGAGCCGCGGATCTAGAATGCCGAGAGAAGAGCTTCAATTGAAGTTCGATTTGATGATTCGGACATTGAGTAAGTTTCATTCTCATAATGATCCAAATTTGAGATGTTGAGGTTTCATGAATTGACTGTTTCGAACATCTCTTTGGCGACAAACACAGCCATGTTATGGATGATGTAATACTGTGGACTTTTTCGAGCTAAGCTTCAGTCGCGATAATGATGGTGACCCTAACCCTGGCTGTGTACCTTTACTTAAACCCAATAAGCGATTGGTGATGACCTTCATCGTCGGGACTGGACCATGGGATCTCAGCCCCAGTTCGACATCCCTATAAAAGAACGTCTGTGGTTTGTATAGGTACTTCTTTCCCGTTGAGACCCGTTGACAACAGATTTCTTCCATGTGAAAGCAGATCCGATTTGATAGCATCAAGCTCTTTCAACCAAGCCAAGGAACCAATGATTGGTACCAACCTTACCCACAATCCCTTCTACCGTTCCGTACCGTGTATCCGTTACCGGTGATCCCTAGAGTTTGTACCTCTTTGCTCATACCTAGTAATATCAACCTCGATGGCTACCCACATACCCATAGTTCAAAGAAAGAGAAAGAAAATCAAGCGGAAAGGCAAGACGCATCAATGGCAGAGCTTCAGAAGCAACACTCTCAAACCGAGACACGCTCTCTCAGGAACTTACCTGCCCGCTTCCCATATCCCCCTCACTACCAGCGAGAGAAAGTCTCCTACGCAGTTTTCCGCCTCTCAAACATTCTTCCAATCGTGGCCAGTCACATTATCCTTCAACATTCTTTCCGCTGTCTCCCTCGGATCTGCTTCACCCGTCGGCGGCGTAATCGGTAACGACGCATCCATCGGCCTCAGCTGAAACTCCGAATAAGTCCGGCTGTGCTGCTGCTGCTGCTGTTGCTGATGATGTTGATACTGCTGGAACGGATACGGATTATGCTGCTGCTGATTCGACCTCGGTCTCTCCTCGCGGTTTTGATGACGGCCAGCCGAGGTAGGCGAATAATTCTGCGGAAGCGGCAAGGGGCCGGTAGCCGTGGTATCGACAAAGTCCTCGTCCATCGGCGGAAACTGGCTCCGGAAGCGGGCAAGAGAAGCAGTAGCAGCCGAGTTGTGATCGCCGTCAAAGGCGACGCCATCAACCATTCTGGCATCACGGCGCTCATTAGACACCGTCGCCGACTGGCTGCTGGCGGGCATGGAGTCGTTACCACCACTACCGCCGCTGTATTCGCGGTCCTGGAGCATACCCCCTTCGCGACGGATGATGTCGCGGATCACGTCCCTTCCGCCGCCACTGACTCCTCCTCTGCCAACGCTGCCACTGCTCGTGGGAGGCGGACCGCCGCCGCCGGCAAGCATGTCGGACAATCCGGAACTGCTTCTCTCCAGTCCCCATCCCGAAGGACCACCGGAAATCTGTCCCGGCAACGGACGTCGGTGGTATATCGGTCCACTAACCGTACTGCCCGCACCCTCTCCGAAGCCCACCAAGCTCTCCCGGCCATCATCGTAGTCGCTCATCCTGTCATCAAAGGTGCCCACACTCCTAGTAGCGAGTCTCTCCTCGTCATCATCCATCATGGTGTCGGGGCCCGTGGCGTACCCACTGGCCGGAGGACTAGTCGTCGGCATGCCCATGTCTGTATCGTTATCACGGGGATCGAGGTTCATGGTCATGCTCTGGTCATCGCCGCCATCGAGGTCGGGGGCAGTCTCGGTGTTGGTTCCGGCCTGCGAGGTAGCCGAAAGCGATGCGGTGGTGGTGCCCTCGTATGCCGAGTCGGTGGCCGAGGCGGAGCCGACCGTGGACATTTTGGTGGCAGCTCTGGGCTGGCCTGCGGCGTCAAAGTAGGCTGGTGTTACCGGGACATTGGGGTTGTTCTGTTGGCTCTGTTGTTGTTGCTGGTAATATAAAGACTGGCCATATGAGAGGTTGTTCATGGCTGATTGAGGAGTGCCGGCAGAGCCGGGAGACTGTACACCGCGGAGGGCGGACATCATGCCCGGGAGACGGCTTATGCGATCGTTGCGCTCGGCTTCAGGATTGGAAGGCGGGTTTCGGGTGTAGTCGCCGCTGAAGCGGTTGCTTGTATGTGGTCCGCTACCATGATGGACATGGCCGCGGTGGCCGTCCTTGATGGCGGTTGTGGACAGGGTGGAAAGTGAGGTGGTGGTGCTGGTCGGGGTGCCACTGGAGATGATATGATGGTAAGCCTATCGTGAAACTAGGGTTTGGGAAAGGAAGTACAGAAGCACCGGACACGGGCGCAAACAAAATGACGGTAGGTCTTGATCGAAAAGTCGAGTAAACTCACGGCGTCTCAGACGGAGTGTCCGGATTGGAGGGCGGTTGAGGCAGGTTCGCCAATGTACCCGTAGGATGCGATTGTTGCGACATGATTGTTTAATCTGATCTCGTTTATTGTCGTCAATCACGAGAAAGAGGGGCGATTCGAATGGTCGTCTTGGTCGTCGCGTCTTGCGAGATCCGAATAGTATCCTGGGAATCGTACGGCGAGGTCCGTGAACAATAAACACGACCCGCAAATGTCGCGATGGTGGATAGTCACGTAACTGAGGAATTGGGAATGGCAGAAAAGAAACCCTTTGCTACACAAGCGCTGATCGACGTCGAATGTGTTAGGATGTGCGGTGCCGCGTGCGTGTCAGGTGGTTCTTTGTTGTTGAAAGGAGCATGGAATCCAGTGCGACAACGGCTTCCTTCCTCCAAAAAGAGAAGAAGAAGGTGGAGGGAAATGACGTCGGGGTAAGCACTACGACGCGGCAGTAGCAGTCCCCTGAACTTGTCACGAGCACTACCAATGGCACGATTGCTAAACAGACCATGCAAGCGAGAACCTTGATGCCCGGCACGTGTGGGGCTCAGCCTCCCTAAGCCGCTGCTAGTGCATGTACCTCTACCGCTGTAGCTGCTGACTTAGCAGTTGATATGTATGTGCGGGGCTGAGATGTGCTTTCGGCTTTGCTAAATACACTATGCCATAACGCTGCCAATCAACGTCCCCTCCTCACTCCAAACCAAAACATCCCCGGATTAAGCACCTCGGTCATCGACAGAACTCCTGATGATCACCATCTCTCCTATTCATCTTCATTCAGCCTTATTTCTTCGCCTTGTTGTTGAAGCTTCATACACCAACAACCATCACAAGACATCAAGCCTCAAAACCCTCCCGGCGGTCATCACTCATTCAACCTTCCAATCTTCCGCTCTGCTAGTTCTACACCGTCAAAATCAGAGCCTCATCCAGGACTTCCTCCACCAGTGATCAAACCCAAACGATCAAAACTCTCCCGGACTAAACTCAACAACCTGCCTCCCCTCCACGATTCCCTCAATGCTCTCCACAAACTCCCGAAAGGCCGGGTCCTCCTCCAAGTAAAACTTGCGGTCTTCGGGCGTGTCGAATTCGGAGACGAAGACGTGGGAGATGCGGCCCTATTTGCTTCTTTGTCAGTATCAAAATCCATCATGCCAGATCCATCATGTCGTATTCCGTTACGTTCAGTTATGAAACATCCGTCGTGGTCTGGTCTGTGAAAGGGAAGGGGAAGGAGATGAAGCGGTACATATAAAACGTGAAAGGGTGCAGAGTGTGAAAGATGAAAGGGAACAACGCAGTGAGGTAAGTAAAAAAACCACATTCATCCTGCCCTCAGGACAAACATTCGTCCTGCCCTCAGGACAAACATTCGCACCCCCCTATCGCCGTCTTGAGATACGGCATGTGCGTTTTCGGATGGGTGCAGCGGTCTTTGAGGGACATCATTCTGTCGCAGACCTTTTTTTTTTAAGTGAAAGTCAGCCTTGGTGTTCTTTACTTCCCTTGTTCTTCAGTTAGGAGCACATGGCTCGGTTGTTGATGGTGTGTTTTGCCGCCGTGAGTCGTGAGTCCGGGTCGGAGGAGGGAGAGAGAAAGAAAGAAAGAAAGAAAGAGGGGAGAAATGGGGCAGAACCCACATCTTGAACTTCCTCCTGTGTTGCCAGGGGTTTGAACTCGAAGTTCGACGTGGACGATACCCATGTTTTCTTCTACAGGAAAGTAAGGTGGGTACAGTAGGTAGGGTGAGTAAGGTAAGTGTATCTCGATTCAGTCCTCTGGCAAGTCAAATTGATGGGCGGTTTGAGGCGAGAGATGTGGTCTTATATATCACGTCGAGATACTTGGGAAGTATGAAGACGATAGGGTGTGCAGTGGCCGTTGATGGAAAGGCCAGTCAAGTGTGCCTCAAAAGTTGGTCCCTTTTGGTCCGTTTGTCTAGAGTTGCTCACTCTGATTACATCACATCAACATCATATCAACAGAAGCTCCGTGCACCATCGGATGTGGTGCTTTGTTGTCTTGATGTGAACAACACGGTTTCCTGGGCAACTATCGTTGATCGCAACCTAAGGTACCCTCAGCCCCTTTCAGTTTTGCAATTATTTTCACTTCAAGCACGAGGGTGAACTCTATTGGTTGATTATAATTTCATTGCCGCTAATCTCATAGCTCATTCATGTTTGACTAACTTAGCCAAGGTACCATAACTGATGATCGCTTAGCTCTTCAAAGGCACTATGGTATCTACAACGACGAAAAAAAGCCCGATGTTCGAATACCACCATACGCCATGCCATGTTTGATCAGTGAGTACTGAAGAATGGATGGGGTTTCCTTCCCAAAGCGAAAATAAAAGCGAAAATCCGGTAATGCTGTGGTCGATGCCTTCGTTTGAAGTCATATCATGCAACGCTAGGGCTGTTGGACTTTTGGGTTCCCCTTTTCCGGTCTTCCATGGCATCCAAATGTGGTTCCCGTCAAATCTAGTCCAGTCCTTGTTGATCGGCTTCCCTAATGAAGCCCAGTTGGCTTTCTTGTGGTCGGATGTACCAACTCTCCCGTGCCAGTATACGGTTGAGTAAGTTGTATGTGTGGGTAGGTAGGTTTACCCTTCATATACTCTTACAATGTTGTCAAGGGGCTCCTGACGGATGCTTTTCAGAGAGAAGATATGCACAGCCAGTAGGTAGCCCTGGTGATCCGCAGTCGTAAGCTGCCGAATGGCACTAAACCACAGATCGGTCGGTGAAGGCAATCTCCAGTGTACTGAGCTGCTCCATCCACCTCTGAGTAGCTCCGCCCAAGTGAGTCTGAAGCCAAGTCAATATCTTAACCCCCTCCTCCTCCTCCTGACAAGCCCAAGCCAGCTACCTTAAGCGGGCATCCCAGCCGCAGCCCTACTCAACCTGCGCAACGTAAGCGGCATAACACCATTGATGAGCGTCTCAATAACCTCATCAATGATCTCGCCGTCGCCCACGTTCTGCGCCCTGGTGCGACGCAGCCAGTACTCGAACGGGCCGCGGTTCTTGGCCAGCGCGTACCCCAGCTCTGAACAGCGCTCGGCCGGACTGTGCTCCGTGTGCATCTCCGTAAAATGCGTAATCATCTTGGAAATGTCTTTGAGCGGCCACTTGCAGGGGGCGGCGGGCGAGCGGCCGGTTCCGGCCAGCAAGTACTTGGGCGCCGAGCACAGGCGACACTTCCAGTAACCTAGGCGCTGGAGAGCCGTGTTTTGCTGGTTCTCCTCATCCACGTATGGCTGCGGGGAGTTGGCGGCGTTGCCGTTTTGGTGATGTTGGTGTGGGTAGGATGGGTGCACGGGAATGTTAAACTCCCAGGTTCCGGGGGTGCCGTAGGGAAGCCGATGGGGTGAATTACCGGACGAGTTGTTGCCGTTGGGACTACCGCCTCCGTCTGCCTCTCTAGAGCCCGTGGCCATCATCTCGTCGCCGTCGGCGTCCAGCAACTGTGGCTCATCGGGCGTCAGCTTCGCTTTCTTGGCTGATCCCCCCGTGGTCTTACCGCCATTGTCGTCCTCATCATCATCTGACGGACCCCTCACGCGCTTCATGCCCGCTACCTGGCCCGATCCGGCAAGCAGGGAAGCTGTGTACGCCCGTCCTCCACTCGATGCGCCGTAGTTGGTGAAAGGAATTCCCTGGCGGCGCAACTGAACCTGGAGGTTCTCGATCCTGTGCTGGCAGTGGCGGATCTGGTGGCCGAGATCGAGCTGGCGGAGCTGGAAAGTGCGGGTTTCCTGGGGGGTGAGGTCGGGAAGGTCAAGAGTGGCGGTGCAGTAGGCTAGGTCGTGCTGGTAGGCGTCGATGTCCTCTTGGAACTGGCGGAGCTGGATCTCCTCGAGATTGTTGATGTTCTCGTATCCAGTGCCGATGACGCGTGACGCCGCTGTGTAGGCATTGCCTCTGGCCAAGGCTGTGTCGTTGTTCTTGCTCTTCCTGCCGTCCATCTCACTGTCGCCGTTGCCGGCGACTACCATGGCAGTCTCGGCGTTCTTCTTTGGCGTGCCATTTCCAGTGGGTTTACTGTCATGGGTATTGGTGATGGTGGTCTTGGAGGTCGTGGTGCCGTTGGTCGTGACGTCCATGGCATTAGATGTGCTGGAGCCGTCGGGCTCTTGTGCAGTGGTATTTGCAGCAGTCTCCGGATGTGTTTGACCCTTGCTCTTCTTAGAGGCACTGGCGGATGTACGAGGCGCGGCCATGCTGGCGGTTTTAGCCGTCTCAGGACTGCGAGGGTCGGCAGAGGCAGCTAGACCACCGACAGACACGGTGATGGAACCGTTGGGGGTGTTCGCCGACTCTTGGGCAGCAGCAGCAGCAGAAGTAGAAGCAGCAGCCTAATGTCGCCGAATTAGTATGAGGTGCTCAGCAGTAGTAACTTGAGATGCACGTATGAGACTGGTGATCATCATGAAGAGAACGAGACAGTGTTGTTGAGTAAATGATATGGGAGAAACCGGCTTGATCCCAATGGTTGATTATATGTCTACTTCTTCTTCACATTCATGTCGTTTTCGTTCATGTCGTATATGCCTGGCGGTATCGGTGCGGGATATGCGCAAAAAGTCAAACTGCAATGCCATGTTGACATCTTTCTTTTTTGTCTCTCACTTTGCGGTCGCAATCACTCAAACAATCAAAGATACAAATCAATGATTCGCAAGTTTGTCTTACCTTTCCCTTTGAGACTGCAGCACTGCGCTCTGCCTCCCTCTGCGCGTTTGACGGACGACCTCTCTTGGGCGGCATTGTTGCCGTTTTCAAGCGGGCGCAACGAGAAGGATGGTGCTGGTGATGTTGTCTGGTGGTGGTGGTGGTGTGTGGCCAAGGTTCCAGCTTGATTGCAGTCGCGAGTTGTTGTCGTCGGGCGAGAGTTGTCTTTTTTGAAAAAGAAGAAAAAGAAACAAGCAATAAAAAGATTGCGTGGAGATGCAACTTATTGAATACTCCTGCCTGCCTGATGTGGAGATGTTGTTGATGAGATGATTGCAAAATGAAAGGTTGTTGCTTGCAAACGTGGGAGTGGCGGTGGTGTGGTTGTGTGAAGTGGAGGGAGATGATGAGAGGAAAGAAAAAAAAGAAAGTGGGCAAACAGAGAAAGAAAGAGAAACGGCAGAAAAAAATAAAAACTGGAGGAGGGAATGCGACAGGATGGAATGGCCAATATGGGGCAGTAAAAAAAAGGCGGGGTGTGTACGGAAAGTGAAGGGACCTTGGATGTAGTTTGTACCTTTTTGACGACTCCAGGTTCTGGTTCCAGTTCTTTTTACTGGTTGGCTCCAAGGTTCATTCACTGACTGGCTCAAGCTTTCGTTGTTGTTGGTGGGTATGGTTTGACAGATGAAAGCGAGACAAACTGGAGAGGGGGAATTATGGAGTGCTTATTTAGGAAAACAAGAGACCCCTTTCTTTCTCTCCTTTTCCCTCCAGCTCTCCCTTTGTTCCTTTCTTTCTTTTTTCTTTCTCGTTTCCCGCTGTTCTTTTTTCCTCTCCCTGCTGGTCTGTTCTCTTCGCGACCCCAAAAAAAAGCCTTGGCGTCTTCCCCTGCCGACACCCCCTTTCTTCCGTCACTTCTCCCCACTATTTTGACGCGTTGCGAATTCGGATTGGCCAGATCGATGGTCTGAACATTGAAATCGGGAATTTGGGAGTTTGGAGACGCACGGGGCAACATCGACATTGACACTGACGGGGAAACGGTAGACGAAGCTTGGCGTGGGTTGGTTGTAGGTAACTTGTACACTGCGTGTTGGTTGCTTGTGAATAGGAAGATGATGACGGCTGTTTTTTGTTTCCTTTGCCATTTTGTCTGCATGTCAGGGATGAAACCGTTTTCGTTATTCTTTTGGCTGACTTTTGCCTACCTGTATCCAGCTTTTTCTCGGCTTTCCTCATCCGTGTCTCTCCCTCTCACAGGCCACAGCTTGGGTGGGTTTCAACTTCTTTCTTTCTAGAAAACGAAAGACGAACAGCAAAAAAAAAAAGTGGACAGCATCTCAGGCTGACACCGTCTATCCAACTATTATTGTTGTTTTCAATTTCAGTTTTCAACGTACATAACACTTGGGTCCATGCGAACAACATCAACTTCGGATGAAAGGGAATGAGATTGGCAACCTCCAACATCTGCCTAGACCTAACCAAGACGTGAATCAGACAAAAGAAATAGAAGACCCTATTGTTCTTTCATTGTGCCGATCTTGACTAGCATCGTTCCAACAACTCAAATGACAGTTAATGGAATACTAAAAAGATCAATGTCAGTCAAGATCATACCTGAGCACGCAGATGAAAACACTTATGGAATTCTATACAGAAGCATCAGAGGAAGCAATCATGTATCACAATCATGCCCGGAAGGGATAAGCACACCTGACATTGCAGACGTACATATCAGTCCTCAAAGGTATGTTAGTGCGGTTTTTGTCATAAATGGCAGCAAAAGTTCACCAAAAAAACAACGGGATGACCAAAATCAAACCAAAGAATTGGAGAGAGTATGTGAGGCATGGGAAGACACATCGGGCTGATACTTACTTCTCATACAAATTTTGGTGGAATATTGGTTGAGTTGCGAAGAGCACGTTGCGAAGTCCCACGCTAACAGACTTTCCAGGACTGATATGTACAACCATACACTAATCCAGGATCCATTCCTTCCTCCGAGTTTTATGGTCTATGATCCGGTAGGAAACCACGTACCTGGATGAACTCAAGCAACCTAACCACCTGAACTAACACATCAGAAAGTCGTGGGAGACACATCATGACAGTTCACCGCAGAAGAACAAAAAGATACTCACCTAACACACACGTACATACGTACACACACATCTCTTCCAATTATAGCCGAGACCGATCTTAAATACCTAGGTGTCTGCAACTACCTGCAACTACTTCAACTGCCTGATAGAAAAAAAAAGAAGAAAAAAAAAGAGGAGAATGCCCCAATATGAAAACATGAAGATAGAAACAACAAGGAAAAAACGACAAAAAGAGAAGATGTTGTTGAACATCGGGAAAATTGAGCCCGACGTGGGGGTCGAACCCACAACCTTGAGATTAAGAGTCTCACGCTCTACCGATTGAGCTAGCCGGGCAGCTATTGCAAGCAAAGCTGCCATGTCATTGGTTGTTTCTTTTGGTCAGATAAGTCCTTATAGAGTTATTCTCCTTACTGCTCCTACACTTTCGAAAAAAGGAAAACTTTGTAGACAACGTCTTTCTTTCTTCTCACTCATTTTCACTGTTAATCCCACTTCCTTTCCTGTCCTTTTTACAGTCCTTTTTCTTTCCGTATCGAACAGTAATCATTCTGTCCCATGGGAGAGATATAATAACGGATAAGAAAATAAAATACGTGCAATGTCATCGGTTATTCGAAGCATCTCAGAGTTGTTCCTCATAAGTCATTGCCATTGGTATTACAACATTACAGAAAAAAAAAAACCTTGATAACAATACCTTCTCCCTTCCCTTCCACTCCCACTACCACTGCCACTTCCTTTTCGTCCTCGACCATAAAGTAAAATGCCTTCTAAATAACACACCGAGGAATATGAATAAACATAAACGCGTGTTAGCACGAACCGTGAAACAAAAATAAAAAAATCTACCAAGCCTCCCACCTCTGCCCTCCCATAGCCACCAAGCGATTAAACAGCTCATCCCTCAACGGCACCGCAGTAATTTTGAAAGTCTTGCCCTCCGTCGTGATAATCTCCAATCCATCCTTGACCTCCCTCTCCATGCTCCAATCCACAACAATCTTGGCCTTCCATCCATACCCGCCCACCTTCTTCAGCTCAACAATATCCGCCACGGCAACCGTCCACACGGGCTTGATGTCTTCCCTCTCCTTGCCCGCAATGACCGTCGTACCTTCATCATCCTTACCCGTAGCAAAGGCAATAGAAGGGATGGTAGCTGTCGTGCTAACGTAGCAGTGACCCTTCTTGCCGTCAAAGCGGCAATCGAACTTGACGGGACCGGAGACGGGGACTTCGTCCTTGGGGGGTACGATATCCAGTCTCTCCTTGGCGTGGTGCGAGCCGAGCTTGGCACGAACGTGATCGGTTGCTCCCCCGGTGTGGACCAGGCCGGCAGTCACGTTCTTGACCCATCCCAATACCTTGTTGGATTTCTTAGTCTGCTTGTTCTTGGAGTGGGAATCAACGTCAAAGCCGGCCTCGCGTAGGCCGTCTTTGGGGTCTACGTGCGCTGCTTCGTCCAACTCCGAAGGAGAAGCGTTCATGGGGTAAGCGGCGCCCTCGAGGCGCATTTGAGCCTCGGAGTCGAGGGTTGGCGGGTGGTTGGCTGGGTCCTGAACAGGTTGCTCGACGACGCGCGGGGGAGGAGGGAGAGGGGCCTTGTTGGCTTCGCCGATGCGCAGGAGGGTGAGGGTGAGCTGGGCGTTGGTGGGGACGCCCTTGAGCAGAGTGTTGCGCAGCTCGAGGAGCTTCTGCCAGTCGGGGATGACGCGGTTGAGGTAATCCATGCCGTGCTGGATGATGGGGTCGCCGAACATGCCGAAGCCGAAGCCGAAGGTGAGGGACTTGACGAACATATAGGAGGTGACGAAAAGGGAGGCGCCGAAGAGGGGAATAACTAGGGTTGCCAGGCGCAGACGGTGAGTGTCCTTTGGAAAGGGAGGGGTGGGGGAGAGAGCGCTGGAAGATGGTTAGTGATTCAACGGTTATACATAACAGGTGCCGGTGAGGAAACATAAAAGACAGAAAAACGTACTTTGCAAGTCGCTCGCAGTTATCACCGATGTTACCGACTACCTGCATGAAGGGTCGAAGCTTGGCCCACATGGCCAGCTCCATGGGCTTCTTGGTCTTGTCATGGACTGCATTCCCCATGTTAACAGATGCCGGGGAGAAAAGAGGAACAAGGGGTTGCGAGACTCACCATCTCCAGCGGGATGTTTACCGGCCGCACTGCTCACAGCGAGCTCGGCAAGTCCGTTGACCAAGTTATCAGCTTCCTGCTCGACCGCTTCACCCTTGTGATTCTCAGGGGCACCCGTAGCACTATCCTTGCTACCGAGGGTACCCGCCCACGGCTTTTGCACGCCACCAGTGTTGGTGTCAACAAGGGCGATGGGTGCTGGAGGGAACATCAGCTCGCGTGTGGGAGGATGGACAATGAGCGCAATGATCACGCCGGTGATGAGGGGCATGACAAAGTCAAACAACCAGGCAGTAAAGTAGACTCCGGCAAACCAGGCCGTTCGCTCCTTCTCACGCCAGGACCGAAGACGGGCAATGTGCTTAACGGCAGCGAGAATGCCAACAACAACGGACATGTAGAAGCGTTCGATGTTAGCGCGCATCTTGTCGGGGGAGAATTCCTCCTCCTCGGCCGTGTTGAGGTCCAGACCACCGGGCACGGGAGTAACCACTGCCTTGGTGTGGATAATTTGCTGTCACGGTGTTAGAAGGGCGTTCAGCTTCCAGATGATAGAAACTGGTCACTTGCCTTGTTGAAGCGGCGAACGAGCAGCCATAGCTCCTCATTGTCGATGCCGCCAACCAGAGGGGCAGCAATCTCCTGCTTGGGTTCGTTCCAGCCCAGGTTGCGAACCTCCTTTTCGCTCTCAAGCTGGGCGGCGCCCTTCAGCTTATGGTCCTCGGTGGCGAGGGCATGGGAGAGGGTGTGGCCATCTTCGAGACTGCCGGCCGCCTTGTCGAAGGCTTTTTTGGATTGGAAGATGTCTTGGGCATTTTCAGCGGGAAGAGGCAGGAGATCCTTGAGTCCCGTACCGGGACCTGTTTCGCCCGTGATGGGGTTCTCTTCCTTCTCCCCGGTGAGGGGATCTTGTCTCTTTTCAGTCAAGTTTTCGTCGAGCATGTTGGCGGATTTTGTTACCACATCAAGGGTTTGTTGGGGTGTAGTGGTTATGGAAAGGGCTGAGGTTATACCCGCAAGCTTAATATAGTAGGGGTCACGATGTGAACTACGGAACCGGGTCTGATCAATGGAAAGAGGGAGGGGGTTTAGTTGAGAATCCTAAGAGTGGGAGTGAGTGGTTTGATGTCCGGGTTGCATGGAAGCTTAAGTCTTCTTGTGTGGTACTTTGATGGAAAAATCCAGACACATGGGGTCCAAGCCGGATGAGATGCAAGTAGTGGGCGAGGCATCGAGAAAGAGATGAGGTGCCATGACGACGGAAGTCTGGAAGCAGTGCTACAAGAACGACGGGACTCCCGTCCGAACGGGGAAAGGGTCGACTGGGGAGGGACTTATGACATCAATGGCGCCAAGAAAGGGGACTTGCTGGGGCGGGGGGGGGAGCCACTGAACACTGAAACCATCCATTGGGGACCTGCCCTGCCACTGTGACGACGCTGCTGGGCTGGGCTGTGTTGTTAGTGCAAAGCAGGCAGATTCCAGGGTTCCGGATCTGCAAATGCCAACTTCGATCAAGCCTCGTATCGCAACGGCTTCTCCATCGAACCCGATTTCTTGTTTTCTGGCCCTTCTCTCCACGTGGAATTGCCTTTAAAGCCATCTGGACCCTCATAAGGGCTGTCCTTCTGTTTTGTTTGTCGTCTCTCCTTGCCTGCCCCGTGCAGAGTCATTAGGCAAACAGGCGTCGGCTGTACTAACACTTATACGTCATGTCAAGCCCCTGCAACAAGTGCCCGCCAGCTGCAAGGAACCATCCGTCAACAAAGCACCAGACCGCCTTAACCAAAAAAAACAACAATGACAACAGCCTGCAAAGGATGCTTCTCGTTATAAACCAACATGGACGACCTTGATTTGAGAATTGATCTTTGAAAATGAAGTGCATGGAGCGCGGAAGGACTCGTTTTCACACTTATAGATGTGATGAACGCCATGCCGAGCCTACATGGGTACAATTCGTCTGATAATGGCTGGCACATAATTGTTAAGGACTGCCCCACTCACAGTTAGGCCACTGGCAGAAGTGGTGACGACATTGACATTGGTCTTTTGCCCATTAACAACACCACACATCCCCGTCGTCGGAGACTTTCCTTCGATATACCCATTGAAGACAGCAACTATTGCATTCTCACAGCTTGACTTCTCCAATCCAACTCAAACTGCCACTCTCGCCAATACACACACCTCCCAGACCATTACCGACAGACACCATGACCGTCACCACTCCCGAACGCGTTTTCCAGCTCACAGGCTCCTGCAACAACTACCCTTGGGGCAAAAAGGGAAAGGAGTCTCTCGCCGCTCAACTATGCGTAAAGACGGACAAAAGCTTCCAGATCAAAGATGACGAGTTCTACTCGGAAATGTGGTTCGGCGATTATCCCGACTTTCCAGCAAAGAAGTTGGAGACTGGAGAGCCCCTGAAAGACATCCTCGACAAGAACAAGGAGACACTACTGGGGAAGAAGGTTATTGAGAATCTCGACGGCCAGCTCCCGTTCTTGCCAAAGGTATGGGTACAATAAGCTACTCGGATTGTAAACGTACCCACGGCTCAAGTCGCTCGTGCTAACTTCTGCCCTCTCCAGATCCTTTCCATTGCCAAAGCCCTTCCCCTCCAAATTCACCCAACAAGGAGCTCGCAACAAAGCTCCATAAGAAGGACCCCGAGAACTTTACCGATCCCAACCATAAACCCGAGATCGCCGTAGCTCTGTCCAAGTTCGAAGTCTTTGCTGGATGGAAGCCACTCTCCGACATTGTGCCTCTCTTCCAGCTTCCCTTCCTCAAGCAATTCGTCCCTCCCGGAACCACCGACACCTGGACCGACGCCACCCTCCGTGAGATTACCCGAAGTCTGCTCAAGGCCGAAGAGGGCTCCGTCGAGAGCATTGCCCAGTCCCTCCTCAAGACCCCAAAGGAAGACCTCGGGCCCAAGAACGACTACATCCCCGACCTGATCCCTCGTCTACAGGAGCAGTACGGCCCCAAGGATCCTGGAACTCTCGTCGCCCTTCTCTGCATGAACTTCATGGTCCTGCAACCCGGTGACTCCATCTATATCCCCGCCGACGGTATTCACGCTTACCTGTCGGGTGACATTGTCGAGTGCATGGCCCGCAGCAACAACGTGCTCAACGCTGGGTTCTGTCCTCCTGCCGACCGCAACAGCTACGACTTGTTTGCCGAGACGCTAACGTTCCAAGGTCATACTGCGGCGGACATGCTGCTGCCGAGCAAGAAGAGCGAGAAGAGCAAGGCGGGGCACACAGTGGTGTACAAGCCGCCCATGAGCGAGTTCGATATGCTCAAGGCCGACCTGGGGGCTGGGGAGAGCGACGAGATTGCGCCGAGCGATGGGCCTGGCGTGTTGATTGTTACCAGTGGCGAGGGTACCATGTTGACCGAGGGCAAGACATTCGACTTGAAGGAGGGATCCATCTTCTTCGTGGCGCCGGAGACCGCGGTTGTCTGGAAGTCCGACAAGGGAATGCAGATCCACATGGCGGTTGTATGAGGGGCTTAATGATCTTCCTACGGTAAAATTTTCTTCTTTTTTCCCGGCCTGTTAAGCCCAAATACTTTTATGTTTATACGATTAGCACCCAAGTAAAACCTTTTCTTACTAGATATTCACCTTTGCTCCGAGAAAATGCGATTATTTCATGTCACTGCCTCTGTTCTCCCTTTTCTGCCTGTTCCACAAACAGCAAATACTACTTTCACATCCCCAGGCATAGTACGGTAGCTCACCAGTGTACTACGTGCAAAGCGCACTTTCCCGCGTCCACATTTTGTTTCTATGAATCTTCCGGGCGTGCTCACTACATGGTCGCATTGTTAGAAGTCATGATGTGTTTTTAAACAAAGGAAGGAGCTGCTACATACAAGTCAAGTGTCACCAAGCAACTGGGTGGGTTATGCGATGATATACCTCTCACTCATGCCCCCATCTCTCCCCTCGCCTTCCGTTTGAAGTCACATCATCTAACCAGTATGGCAGTAGACACCGTCCAAGACGACCTGATGCTAATAATGGAAGGGAAGAACTTGCTCAGGACGTGAATCCAAGGGATCTGCTCCTGTCATGCGCGGCATATAAACCGAGGCAATGTTACAGGTTCCGTTCCCAATTGACTTCTCAACATCATTCTTCCCAGACTCTTCATTTTCATTAGCAGGCCATATCACACACCGTAGGTTTACTACAGAGCATTTTCATACCTATCTTTCCCACGCGATATGTCTCAGCATCCAAACCATGGCCTAGCAGGGTCTTAGCCCGGCCAGCAGCAGCAAGCGAATGGAGACGAGCAGAGCGTACCGCCATTGCAGAACGCGCCACCAGTATTCGAAAACCAGAACTACCAAAATCAGTACTTCCAAGATCAGTACTTGCAAGCGTACTTCCAAAATCAGTACTTCCAAAATCAGGACTTCCAAGATCTGGATGTACGCCTTAGCCAATCCTCAGCAACTGCTTTTGATGACTCAACAGATTTATATCCCACAGGACCACAGCAATATTTTGGCCCCCCAGCCAACGCAGCTTCTCAGTATCCGAACCATAACCCGGCGGGGTCTTTTTCTGGCCAGCAGCAAGGGGATATGGATGGGCAGAACGTGCCGCCGTTATTCGCAAACTTCGACTACCAAGATCCGAACTTCGCAGGCCTTTTCCAACAGCCCCTAACGGGCACTTTTGACGGCCTGACCGCTTCGAGTTTTGATCCCTCTGGTTGGCCAAGTCAATCAGGCGACCAGCTGCAACAAACAGGCAATACTCCTGCGACTATTCCGACTCAGTACAATCCCGATATGTTATTCAATGGCATGGCGATGGGCAACCTGGATACTACTTCTCCCAGCAACAACAGATTTGTCAACCACTCCCATCCCGGCCAGTTACCACAACAGGGGCAGCTAGGACCTCAAACCCAGGCACAGCAGCAACAGCAACAGCCGTACCAGATCCAGCAACAAGCTGAAGCAATGCAGCGAATGCAACAACACCAACAGCAACAACACCAACAGCAACAACACCAACAGCAACAACACCAACAGCAACAACACCAACAGCAACAGGCCGCCCGAAGACACGCGCAACAGCAAAGGGGTCAAGTCCAACAAGGCCAGAGACCCGTTCACGACGGCCAAAGAGGTTCTCAAGGCATGCCGCAAGGACAGCCGGGTCAGGGCGGTGCCGGTAGTCGTGGTGGCGGTATGGGCGGAAAGAATGCCAACAGCTTTTTGCCCATGAATGGCACTTCCCAGGTAACTCGCCAGCCGGTAGTTCAACCAGATTTCGGATCCGGCATTCATCCAGTATCTGGAGGAGCAATGGGTGCTGGACAAAGCGCAGGGAACGATCAGGACGCATACTATCATCATCAGCAGTTACCGCCTGGCAGGAATTTTGGATTCGGGAACACCCACCACCCTGTGGCTGGAGAAGGAATGGGCATTAGACAAGTTTCAGGGCGTGACTAGAACACACACTCTCAGTCCTTTCATCTACAGTCACCGCCTGGGAATTACGTCCCCAAGTCACAGCCGCTGTATTCCAGCCAAATCCCACCTCCTGCCACATCCATAGGACAACAGCACACTGGCCTCAAACACAATTCCAGCGCGAGATATAAGCAGTCGTCGGGAGAAACGGGCCCATTACCAGGAAAGCAAAAATTTGATGCCTCTGAAGGCAACGGCAATCTCTATTCTCTGGAACCAGGGCAAAACAACGCCCAAACAAGGCACATGGCAAAGAGTGACGGTCATGACCAGGTACGAAAGGAGAGGGGCCAGGAAGGACCACCCATTGTTCAAAGCAATGTGGTAACTTCTCAAGATAGCCTAATTATCGGCGAGCCATCTGCGGAGGCATTCAACGTGGAAGGCCAACATGACGACGAGACTTTCAGGTCTGTAGAAACAGCCGAAGCAGCGGAGCAGGATGCCCAAGAACACGCAACCGCAGACAGAAATGTCGGCTCTCTCGCTGACACTGCTAAACGCTGGAAATGTGTAACTTGCGAGAAAGAGTTTAAAACATGGCAGGACCTATCGGCACATAGGACATATTTTATGGGGTACTGTCTAAAACCCCCCCATCAATTGTTTGTTTGCTGCTGGTGCGGAAAAGTTTGTGCTAGAAGGCAGGGCCTACAAATCCACAACAGATCTCACTTCGTCTTTGTCCAGAATGACATGCCTTGGTGGGCATGGGCATGTCCGGAAGAGGGTTGTACGATGTGTCTACCAGGAGGTGATCAACCATATGCAACCAGGGATCAAGTCGAAGCGCACATGCTGCGGACGCACGAATCCGTACAACCCTGGGATTGTCAGGCTTTACTCATATTAGGAAAGGACTTTCCGTGCTTATTCAAAGGTTGCCGAGAGCCACAGCACACGCTGGAGAAGCTAAAGAGGCACATGAAGAGCCATGTGAAAAGGATACCTTAACCTCCACTCTACCACCAGCAGGTCCACAACCGGCAGTGGCTTCCGACTGGAGTCACAGCCCAACAAGAAGATAGCCGCCTCTCCCTGGTTCAAGTGCCCAGCCTATGCCGCACTGTTTCCTACAATTGAACGACGATCTTTGCATATAGTACGGGCACGTGAGTGCGCGGTCCTTGCATATCCTTTTGTGGATTGTTTCGAGATTTGCTTAGGAAGACCAGCAATGGAGTTGCACGTTACCCAGACACATACTACGCCGCAATGGGTGATGCATGTATGTGCCTGTTCTTCCTTCAGCGGGTGCTCGTATGTCGCTCCCAGCGCTGACGGTTTGGAGTAACACGTTGTCAATGTTCACAACATAAAGTCCTCAGTAACTCTCTGTGCTTCATGTCGGAGATGCAGCCCCTGCTTTGTTGTGAAGCGGGCGTGAAAAAAAAAAAAAAAAAAAAAAAAAGAAAAAAAAAAAAAAAAAAAAAGACTTTGCCTTACTGATTGATGGTGGGAGTATGCGTAATGGTGGAGGATGATGAGGTACATCTGATCTCTGGTCTCTCGTCTAATATATGTGACATGACATAAAGATGGATACGACGGGAGTGCGTTTACGAGGCTAGGGCAAAAAGAAAGAGAGGCAGTGGTTGATAGTACATGTAGTACATGATGTCTACGTACCTCTACTCAACGACGCCAAGATATGGTGTGTTTTTCTTCTTCTTTATACCTAGGTATGGAGCGCCAATGAACCTAGACCTGCCCGTCAAAGTCGTGACACTCTTTACAACTGCCACTGGGGTTGTGAAATGTTTCTGTTTTCTTGGATTCCATGGTGTTTGATGTTTTGGTCTCTGGTCTCATGGTGGGAGGTAAGGAGATAGGACGGCTGTGGGCACTGGGTTATCTCTATCTATCGGTACTCTCTCGCAACCCGTGACATATACCTTACCTAAGGTAGACAGCGTACAGTCCAATACGGATTTTTTCATTTATTCGAGATCTTGGGCCAATCGCCCTGGGAAGTATTATGTCAAACTGGTTCCTTTCGTTCAGGAACCAAGGCATATTTGATTCTTGCCTTGAGCATGCTGTTTGAGAAGTTCCATGTGGCAGATTGCATCTTGTTGATGTCTGTCCAATTTGCATCTGGCTATTACGAGTTTTCATTGTGAGGTCGGGGGCAGTCCGATCGAGAATCAAGACAGGGTTGTCTAATACACGAGACGTACCTATTAAGCTCATAAAGAAAGCGAGCGAACGATTCTGTCCCACGAGTTTCGGCTTTTCGTACATACACTATAGGAGACAGAAAGAGTTGAGTTGGCGACGCCCAGAAGCAAATCTATCAAAGTTAAACACCATAGACACTATGATCTCGGTAGCGCTTAGGCCGGGGCATTTGATCAGGTTGCATGTGTCTGAGATTCTGAGGTGTACAACTTGAAGGAGAAGGGGTCAGGAGGATGAAGTAACCATGATACTTTCCCTTTTAGGTCATTTGGTACAGCTCTCGACCAATCATATGACAGAATACTGACTAGGCTCCACAGCCAGCATTTTGCCTGCCGCTGTTTGCGACCCGACTCTAGCTCCACCTGTGTTCCATCCCGTCTTCTCCAACTGAAGATGCCAACTCCCGTCCTTTTTCCAGTCTCCAACCTCGACATCCACTCGCCTTTGTTGAACTTTTTCATTTTTGTCCACCAAGAATGAAATAAAGAATGGCCTCAAAGTCCCCTCGACCATTTTGTTCCACACTTCCATTGTTCGTACCCGACGACACGTCCAGCCACCAACATGCCAAATCCGGAAGAGGGCCGAGTGCCACCCATTGAACAGCAGCAACCTTCACGAGACACGACCACTGCCATCCCAAGGCTACAAGGCTCAGCGGCACTGTCAAAGACAGTAGATTCGATCTTTGTTTGTCACCGAGTTATTCGAACAACGGAATTCTATTCACCTGAAAGATGGGGTAGTGAACAATGAGAGGGGAGCCGTCGCTTGCTTCAGTCGACTCCCAGTACTCGTACTTATGAACAGCACATCGCGACCAGCCAGCGCGCTCGGTGAACAGTCTGATTGATTTGGGCTTCCTTTCCCAACTTTCTTTTCTTCGAATCGCAGTAATAATACGCACGATCAATCTAACCAAGCGCGATCCGAATCATGCCGCCAAAACAGGCCGCCGAAGAGTCGCAGGCCGGCTCCGGCTCCGGCTCCGGCGCGGGCACGCCCACATCTGCCACCTCCCAGGCCCCCAGTTACACCCAAGAGGAAAAGATAGAGAAATTGTGGTACCAAAAGAGAAATGCAAGACATCGCGAAATAATCACCGACCTCATCTATTACGACGAACTCAAAACGATCAGGCGCAAGGAACCGATCCTCAATCCGGAAGATGCTGCTGCCCCTGTTGTGACGGTCAAAATATGGGAGCGTCCTGAGGCTGTTATGGACCCGAAAATCGGTATCATCGGCGACGACGATGATCAGGAGGGATTTAAAGTCCGGCCGCTTCCATTCAAGAAGACCGCCGTTGTTTCCGGGGTCGACGATAAGACGGAGGCCTCGATCACGCCAGGGTCCAAGAGGAAGGCATCCGTTCTTGATGCTGAACCGGTCAGACTTATATCACACCATAACTTTACAGGTATCAGAAAGGAGCTGGGATACAGACGGTCCATCGATTATCACTTTCGATTGTACAAGCTTGCTGCAACTACGAATTTCGTTGACCGCTACCGCAAGGGGGATCCTCCGGTTCCAATCGCCGACCCAGACCTGGCGACTATGCTCGGAGACTGGGATTGGTCGAGATATTTCAAAAACCACAGGCGAGAGTATAGAAATGCTGAAACCCCTCCCGCCGTGCTTTACAAGGGTTTCCCCATGGTCGAAAAGGTTGTCTTTGTGATGCATCCAAACAAGTGGGAAGATGATTACAACCACGGCAAAACAATGGACGAGGGGCACTGTTACTGGGCTTCTATCGCGCTACTGATCTACGGCAGTGCCAGCTTCTGGTTACTCGTCAAGGCCGAACACCTTTGGTATCTCGAGACCACCCTCAACAACCGTTATCATCCTCGCCACGATTTCTATAAGAGAATGATGAAAACGAAATTCAAGTCCAAGGCATTCGGACCAAAAGAGGGTGGCGTAATGATGCAAGGAGAGTTCAACCTTTGGGAGGCACTGCACATTCCAGGCCTCTGGATGAACCACGACCCGTGCTATTTGACTGCTGATCTCTACCAAGTTTTTCTCGTGCTTTATAAGTACGGTTCGGAAAAAGCAAAGTGGTTTAACAAGGTCTACGACATGAAGACTTTTGGGGCCTACAACAGTCGACACATATTTCTTTGCTATGCGGTACGTCCCCTTAGACCTCCATAGAGTAATGACAGCTGACAATACTGTGATTATAATAGTATGAAAATCATTACCGACCCATGCTTCCGAACAATTATCTTTCCTACGAGTTCCGCCTTCCACGCCTCACGCTGGAGTCCACGAAAATGTACAAGCTCCTTACAGCAGAGCACAACAGGCCAGATGACGGCGTATCCCACCACTGGAGGGCGCCGTTGAACTCCCTCCCATCTTCGCTGTCGCTGCCTAGAAATAGCTACCATGGGGTTACGGAAAGTCATATCTACAGAGTGGTTGGATATGAAGACCCCCTCCGACCAGTTATCAATATCGACGATGACCCCATTGTTATCCATGTCGACGATGACAACCATGTCTCAAATCCGCCAAGTACCAAGCGTGCAAAGGTTGATAAAACAACGAGTAAGACGGAGGTTGCGGAGGCGACGAAGCCTGTGACATCAACTCCAGCTCCAGCACCAGCACCCAAGCCAACTACTCCGACGCCGGCACCCAAGCCCACCACCCCCGTAAACTACACTACTCGGTATGTCTCCCTATCCAGTCCTACCACGAATGCGACTACAACTGATAACACTGTTTTGCCAGGAAGGATCTTAAAAAGACTCCCGAGCCTAAACGTCCCTCGTCCAATTCAGCCCCCGATTCCCAATTGCCCAGTTGTCATTCCCCCAGTCGGCAGGGCCTTTGAGGCGTTGTGTGGCGAGCTGGATGAAGCAGAAAGCCAGACAAACTCGACGGCTCTAATCACTCGAGGACCATTTGGCCTCACAGCCTTCTTCTCCCGACCACCGCCCGACCTTACGAAGCTAGACACATACTTTCCCCACTACAACCGCCAACTGCTCGACAGCTTCTACGTCTGGCTCATCCAGCCCGAGAACATCGTGAAACCCCTGCCCCAACTCCTAGATGCCCTCGAGGTAGGCAACCAGAAACACGAACAAGCCAAGAATCCCGCTCTCGCTATCCGTAGCCTCCTCGGTCTAACAGCCGACATCGCCGCTGTTGTGACCTTACTCACCCGCTACGACTTCCGGCTTCTCCTCGAGTTTTACGCCTACGAGATGAAGATCGAAAACAAGATGGGTAAAAGCTCCGCTCAGCTGCTCGACGAGCTGGAGGATGGCCACAAGAGGTGGACCAATGATATCACTGCACCCAGGCACAGCGGTGTCCATCCGGGAATTATTTACACACTCGAGATGATGCTCGGTCGGTATGACCCTGTCTTGCTAGCGGATATGCAGGAATGGGCGAAGTTGGCCATGTCGGCATCTGCACAAGAAGGTCAGGCCCAGGATCTGGGTCCGGGTAAGGAGATGGAGTGGAGTAACGCCCGGCTGGTGCAGTTGTTGGAGGAGGAATATCAGAGGAGAGAAGAGATGAAGAGGGCTGAGCTGGAAAAGAAGGAAGCTGAACGAAGACTAAAGGACCAGTTGGAGCAGCAGGATAGAGAGTTGGCCTACCATAGGGCGTTGGAAGACAGGTACTTCAGGGAGCAGTTTTGGTCCAAGATGGATACTATGGAGGTGGAGATGACGGGAGAGCCGAGACGTCTCAGTCTGAATGCGATGGATTTGGATGAGCCTGACAACCCGTTTGGTGCTCCCAGATCACCGGTGGAAGGGACTGTTCCGATGGATATGGGGCCTGAAATTGACATGGATGATATGGACATGGGAGCAGATTCGGAGACGGACGAACGACGGGCACGTGAAAAATACATGGACGAAGCGAAGCTGAAGGTGAAGGACGTGACAAAGAAGGAGAACTACGCCGACCTGTTTATCAGTTCAAGGAAGCCCAAAGTGAGCGGCCTTGCAGAGGATGAGAAAAATGACTTTGATCTTGACAAGATGAAGGCGGAAAGAAGGGCGCAGCAGGCGGAGAAGAAGCGGCGCGAACATGAGAGGCTTAGAAGAGAACAGGGCAAGACCGCGGAACAGGCTAAGGCGCCGGTGGGAGAAACCGCCAATCAGAAGGCGGCTAGGCAGCTAGAGGAGATATGGCGAGCCAGAAAGGAGAACGAGGAAAGAGAGAGACGCAAAGCTGCTGAAATAGAGAGACAGGGACGAGGAAGATCCCGTGCAGGTTCTGCGTCATCGGGCTCTCATCAACGCGCTGGCTCTTCTTCTCGTACTCGTGCGCCTTCAACTACCGGACGACCGCGTCGTTCATCTACATCGAGAACCCAAGCTCCTAGTACTCCGAGCCGGAAGGGCGACGAAAAGAAACTAGGTATGGAAAACATTGTCGATGAGAATCCCATGGCTCTGGTACTTGCTAGACCTAAACCCCCTACGCTCAAACTGCGACCTGCTACGCCTCCAAATTCTGCTACCGGTACTACAGCGGGTGGTGATGACCCTTTTGGACCTGCAGCTCCTAAGGACTCGGCTAAGCTCGATCCAAAGCGGACTGGTTCTTCTTCTTTTAGTTTCGCTGGTCGTAATATTCCCACCACGGCAGAAAACCAGCCGGTAAAACCTATGCAGAGATTCGATCCCAACACCGCTACAAGGCACAGCAATTTTAACCCCAACGTCAGTACATCCAACGCCGCCGCCGCCGTGCCCAAGGGTAACACGTTCAACCCAAGCTTTAATCCAAACCCACGCGGTCCTTCTCGTCCTTCTCAGCCTAGCCATAGCCCAGGTTCAGGCGCTAGGTCTGCATCTAGCGGTCGCCCACGCGCCGGTTCTGGTTCTGGTTCAGGAGCTGGTGCCCGCCTCGGCCGTTCCCGAGCTAATTCCGGATCCGGATCCGGATCACCGACAAGAGTAGGAAGGAAGAGAGGAAACTCTAACCCAAGAATGGGCATGGGTATGCCGGTTGTCACCAAAGAGACGATAAAGAAAGGGTTCGAGCATAAGAACGTGAATCTCAACCCCATGACTTTGCCAATAGGACAGGGACAAAGTCAGGGGTGGGGAGGGTTCGGGAACCTTGGGACTAGTCCTGGAGCTGGAACAAACGCCATGGATATCAGTCCCGGAGACAGAACCACATCCATGTCACCGGAAAAACAGCGACAGAAACCTCCTTCGGTTTCTTCAAGGGGTAGGGTTGACAAGAGCGCTATGAGTGGGATGGGGAGACAGAAGGTGGCGAGAGCGCCGTGGTTGTCGGATGTGCAGGAGGTTACGGAGGAGGGGTTATATGACGATATTGAGGGAGAGCAGGGAAAGAAGATAAAGGTGGAGGTGCAAGGGCAGGGAGAAAAGGATGTGATTGATGGGAGCTTAAGGATTGAGGAGTTGGGGGATGATGATGAGGATTTTTATGTTGATGCATAAGTGGTGAGGATTTATGACATGCGGAGAGATCGGGTAGGTAGAGGTGTGTTTTGATAAGATAAGAGAAGAGGCGTTTGGAGTTTGCTACTTTTTATAATTCAGTCGTTATTTTGCAATGTGGTTCTGGCCTACATGTTCCTGCTTGCGGATGGGATGGCTTGATGGCTGGGGACGTTTCCTGGATTAGGGGTGCGTTGTTTTGGGTTACTTGGCGTGAGAAAGGCTCCCCCGTCACTTACCGTACGAAACCCAGGCTATAGCATCCACAAACATAACACCATTTCATCCACAAGATCACTGTCAAAGTCCTTCATCATCAGCGATTGGCACACAACACATGGCATGAACACGTGAAATCTATTTTCATCTCCCGTCTTTTACTTGCGTGTGGTATCTTCAATCCTTCTCTCCCGTCATCTAGCACTTTCCAACCCTTTCCTTCCATCCTTCCCTTCCTAAACCAAAGCTAAACAACCCTATCGGTCATTTACTCAAGCTCAATAGTACCAGGAGGCTTGCTAGTGATATCATAAGTGACTCTGCAAACGCCATTAACCTCGTTAACGATCCTGTTCATGACGCGCTGCAGGAACTCCCAAGGGAAGTTGAAGGCCTCGGCCGTCATGAAATCGGTAGTGGTGACCGCGCGCAGGATGATAATATAGCCATACACGCGCTTGTCGCCCATGACACCGACGGCGCGGCTGGGGTCCACGGCGGCGTACGCCTGCGAAATCTGGTCGTACAGGCCGGCCTTGCGGATCTCGGAAATGAAAATGTGGTCGGCCTGGCGCGCGATGCGCACCTTCTCCTCCGTGACCTCGCCGAGGATGCGCACAGCAATACCCGGGCCGGGGAAGGGGTGGCGCATGACCAGCTCCTCGTGGATGCCGAGGGTGCGGCCCAGCTCGCGGACTTCGTCCTTGTACAGCGAGCGGAGCGGCTCGATCAGCTGTAGACCCTGGCCGTTGGTCATGCGCTCGGGCAGGCCGCCGACGTTGTGGTGGGTCTTGATGGTGGCGGAGGGGCCCTTGAAGGACAGCGACTCGATGACGTCCGGGTAGAGTGTGCCTTGGAGGAAGAAGCCGATCTTGGTGCCCTTGCCGGACTTCTCGGCGGCCTCCTCGATCTGGCGGCCTCGGCCTCGACACGTCGATGAACTTGCCGCCGATGAACTTGCGCTTCTGCTCAGGGTCGTGGAGACCCTTGAGACCCTCGAGGAAGTCCTTGGAAGCGTCGATGACGGTCAGGTTGATGCCCAGGTGCTGCTTCAGGTCGCGCTCCACCTGCTCGCACTCGTCAAGGCGCATGACGCCGTTGTTCACGAGGACGGCCCAGAAGCGGTCGCCGATGGCCTCCTTCATCAGCTTGGCGGCCACGGTGGAGTCGACGCCGCCGGAGACGGCACCGAGGACCTGGCCCTCGGGGCCGACGAGGTCGCGGATGCGGGCGATCTCCTGATCCAAAAAGCGCGCCATGGTCCAGTTCTGGGCGCACTCGCAGATGCCGACGGCGAAGTTCTTGAGCAGCTGGGTGCCATTCTGGGAGTGGGTGACCTCGGGGTGGAACTGGAGACCGTAGATGGGCTTGGTCTTGTGAGCGATGGCGGCGTACTCGGAGTTGTCGGAGACGGCAACGGTGTGGAAACCCTCGGGCAGGGCGCCGAGCTTGTCGCCGTGGGACATCCACACGCGCATCGAGTCCTCGAGGCCGTCGAAGAGGCGGTCGACATGGGCATCGTCGCCCTTGAGGGCCTTCAGGTTGGAGTGGCCGTACTCGCGGTGGACGCCAGCGATGACGTTCTCGGGGCTGGCGCGCCAGGCGATCTCCTGCATGCCATCTGTTGGATGTGTCAATATGGGTGAGATCTTGAGATGAGAGTGGTGATGATCATGAGTGATCACGTACAGCAGATGCCAAGAATGGGGACACCTAGACGGAAGAGTTAGCAAGGATACAAGCAGTGTTCCATGGGAAAGGTGATCCATACCAAGCTCAAACACGGCAGGGTCGACGTGGGGAGCACCGTCCTCATAGACAGAGTAGGGGCCGCCGGAGAGAATGACACCCTTGGGCTTGTAGTCAAGATCGGCAATCTTGGTGGTGCATGGCAGCATCTCAGAGAGGATATTGAGCTCTCTCAGACGACGGGTGATCCTATGGGTAAGGGTCAGTATGTCTGTTGTTTACATTGGGGATGCAGGGGGGGTGGTTGAGAGGTGAAGGCAGTCCAGGGGTCATGAGTGCACAAAAAGGCAACCATGAATGGCTGAATTTGTTGTAATTACGGAACCAGGAGCAAATAGTGTGCTGCAACTCATCTTTCATATGAGTGAGTGTGAAAAGAAGTGACTTACAAATGAGTGTACTGCGATCTATTACGAGAGGGAAGAACGACATGTTAGCACAAGATGAACATTCACATGTATCAACACACACAAAGCTGCATATTGTAGTAACAATATCAGTATATTGGAAGGAACGACGCACCCGAAATCCAAAGTCAGGATGGTATCGAAGGCCTTGGTAGGCACCTCTCCGAGGGTAGCGGCAGCCATTGTGTTGGTTGGGTATTTGGGACGGGAGGTTATCGACAACCAAAGATTGCGAATGCGCGACTTCGAATTTTGGATGCCGGATCTCAAAACGAAGACGGAAAAGAGAGAGGGATTATTTTTTTTCAGGGCCCTGCAACCACCCAGCTACAGGCGGCTCGGGTGGGGGAGGAGTCAGTGTGAACTTTTTGAAATGTTGGATGACTCAGCTGCCGATAAGCTGATAAGAAAGCTCTGCAGCCAATCATGAACCCCAAAATCACAGTCACCAAACGGCACTCCACCCACCCCGCTGGAGTCCCGCCCCATCTGTCACTGGCTGCTCCACGGACCGGTCCAGGCTGTGCGCTATGAAATGGGACTGACATCACTGGAATTGGCAGGTGTTCAACTTTAATTCCACTTCATTATCATCTGTTTTCCCAGACAAGTGAACATCAAGCATGTTTTCGTCACATTCAACATGTCGCAATTGGCTTCTTACCGGCTCGGATACTCTTCCGCGGGACAATGGCTCTGTTGCTGTTTCTTTCAGCCCTTTCCTCGCTCAAGTCTTTGTTTGACTTTCTCTTCCGTGAACTCGTCTCAACTTCGTCGTCCAGTCCAGAGCTTGTCTACAGAAGAAACATCTTGTTCATGGTTCCAGAAATGAAGCAATTTGGGCATAAATAGACGACGATTTCCATCGTAACCATGTTGTTTCATCCACATCATCAACTCAAACTAGCAGCCTCAACCTTGCTACCACGACCACATCAACATACTGACTCACCAGAAAACGACTCATACCATCGCCATCACTCATCCACATTCATCAACATGGGTAGGTTCAGTACTCGCGCTCCCAATCCTGTACTCGAGAGTTTGCTCACCAAGCCTCTTAGCGAATATACGGACCTCGATTACGTACCGATCCAGGATGTGGAACCTTATGTCAACAGGTCCGTCGAGATCAGAATCAAGGAGTTAGGCATCAACAAGCCGAAGCGACCATGCAACCACTTCGTCCTTTACTCGATGGCCTGTATTCCACGGGCCGAAGAATGGCGCGAGAGACATTGCTCCGACTTACCAAAGGGATCCAGGTCTTTGGCAGCCATCATCTCCATCAGCTGGGCTCTTGAATCTCCCTCGGTCAAAGCCAAGTATAAAGTTTTTTGCCAGATGGAACTTGAGGGCCACGGTAAGGCTTTTCCTACCTACAAGTTCGTACGCCAGCCACCTAGAAATAAGCGTAAAAACACACGGCTTCAAATCGCTGCGCTTGCCGCACTTCCTAACGTCCAGCAGATTGAGAAGAATGCCGCTATTGTGCAACAGCCTCTGCCCACTAACGACACACAGGACCCCTCCCCGTATTCGAGTAACCAACAGCTTCTCACCAAGCAGAGGGAGATCACGGCGGCTGTTGCCCAGTCTCTCCCCTCTCCCAGAATCCAGGACCCCGTCCCCTTCACCCCGTTGACTCTACAGTTTCCCGCAACCGTCCAGTCTCACCCAAAGGAGCTCTCACCACTCGTCTATCAGCGTCTGGCCACACTCAGCGGCCGCTGCCGTGACCTCGAAGATTTCTTGAAGCTCTGCCAGAAATCCGAGCTCATGCGTGGCGCCTTCTATCCCACCGACAAGGGCCTCGACTATCAGCTTGCTGTTCTCGAGTATAACTCGTTCATCGCCTCGGTTCACGACATTCTCAAGCACCACGTCCGCGACCTTAAGCCCTACGTTCCGAGGGTCTTTGACCTCCTTTGGGAGTTCGATGAGACATTCGGTATGTTCAAGGTGTCTCGATCCACCTGGCCCAACATGGATTTCTCTATGGACTTCTCCATGCCGGTAAGTGTCAGTAACCCTACGCCCATGCCTATGAATATCGACGACTTCCAGTTGCCCTTGGGTGGTTGTGAGGACGCCCTCAGTGCTGACGTTGGCGCAGCTCCCTCCATGGATCTCGACCAAGAGTTGTTTGGTTTTGAGGACAACCTTGCTGCTAATCCTGTCTTAGACCTCGACCTCCTCGACCTCCCTGTCGAATTCTCTGATGAAGATCTCGAAAAGGCCCTCCAAGAGTGTACTTCTGCTAGTGCGAAAACCGCTGACAGCGAGCCTGCCGTTACGAAGCCTGCTGTCGTTAACGAACCCGCCCAGGAAGAGCCAGTGCCTCTACCTGACTTTACCACTATTGGGGCTCTCAACGAGAATGACCTGCTCTTGGACCAAGCGCTCTCAGAGGCGGTCGATCAAGAGGTGGACATAATGGACTTTCTCAACTTCGACGAGAGCAAGTTGCCTCTTTGAATGATGGCTTGATTTTGGGTAGTGCCGGACATTGGCTTTGTATTGTTTCTTGTTCCCCTTCTTTGTTCTCTCATTGTTTGTCTTTGTCCAACTTCAAGTGTCTTTTGGACATCTCCCAGTTTAGTTTTGCTTTGTCCTGTAGATATTGCTACAGGGTTAACAATAGAATATTGCATCTTTGTTTAACATCAAGATTCCTTGTGCTCCTCGTGAAGTGACCTTTGCACGTGAAATGACTTTAATCCTGCCTTTCCACTCACCCTGTCCCCTCGCGAATTAGTGTGCCTCTGCTACCATATACAAACGATGTTCTTTTCCCTAACCCCAGCCTAACGAGACGCTGTCAAGCCACATCTAATCCACATCCTACCTGTCTCAGCCATCGTTTCGAATTCCACCTTCACATTCCCCCCTCCCGATGAAGCATCCGACAACCACCATCATGAACCACACCCCATATCCCGTCGAACGTTACCGCCAGCCCGTTAGCAGAGTTGCTAAATGATGGTAGAGTGGCCGACATCATGCTACCAAACAAGCGGCTATATAAACAGCGGTTCGCATCGTAAAGATGAAGTCCAAACCCGGACCCAGTGCAGTCGGTCCACGGAGTCATCGCGGCCGCATCATGCATCCATCGGTTTAACTTAGTGAGTGGACTGGACAGAAGAAGGATGCTGGAAGCCGAATACGCAGTTGCTAGGTTAGGTATGGAGTCTGCATGTGCGTGACTGACTGACTGACTGACTGACTGACCGTATGTAAGTGGGCTGAAGATGATATTCGGCAGTTTGGAAGTCTTCTTTATTCACCGAGTTCTAGGTAAGGATCTCTTATGATACTAGAGTATCCCCGTATCCATAATAGGTAGGTACTAAAGTATTCTCCATCTTCATGAAGACAAAGAGATACCACACCACCACAAAGCGACCATCGAACCAGCCCGGGTAACATCCTTTGTAGTTTCACGGCGCGAGTAAATAGTGTACCTTGGGTGCCATAGCCAAGTCATTTTGATCTCTCCCGTCAAGTCTTCACACTCGACTGGAGTCTACCATTCAATGTCCTCATGTAAAACACTACATAGTAGGTAGGTAGGGTAGTCTGCTACCTCCTACCTAGTTTATGCACATTACCTTAAGTTTTGCAAGTGTTTCAAACACCAACTGGCGATTGCCAAGGGGTTTGATCTCGAACAGATGAACGAAAGGAAATAATACCTTAACAACTTGAGTACAATCAGGCAAACATAAATATGCTTCAAACCAAGTAACACGAATATATAGGTAGGGGTAGGATACCTCACTGTAGGTAAAGTAAACTACCTGTACGGTACTGCGGCTCCAGTCTTCCAATCACTATGAGTTCGTATAATGAACCGGAAGAGCGAGGAGGGGGACACACAAATAATGATAAAAAAAAGGGGGGTATGACTAAGGTAAGGTAAGATATGGGGGGGTATGATGAGTCGCGTCTATCGATCGCTCCATGCACGCACAACGCACGCACAACGCACGCACTTTGACTTTCCACTTTCCATCCTCCATCCGCTCGCTGCCTGGTTTAGCTCTCCCATGTACAGAATTTCAACGACCAAAAAACCAAAAGATAGGTATCCAAACAAAAAACTCTCACGTCCCCTACGTGTATCTCAAGCACTGCTGCTGCTGCTGCTATCTTTTCTCCCCTTCTCCTGCTCCTGCTTCACCTGAACCGGCACCGTCACCGGCACCGTGACCTCCTTGCTTACAATGGTGATTGGCGATTTTTCTTTCCTCTTCCCCTTGTCGTTCTCCTTCTCCTCGTCGTTCACATCCGCCGACGACCTCTTCCTCTTCGTCGCCGTCGTCGAGGCCCGCCTAGTGCCCATATAGAAATCATAGCGATCAGGAAACAAGATGATATTCGCCATCCTCGCGACTTCCGCCTCAGCCCTGCTAACGGGCGTGTTTGACACACCACCAATCATTTCCGTTGAGCTTGGGCTGCCGGGCTTATCGGATGTAGTGGCCTTGGTAGTGGTACCCTCCATTTCAACATCCTCGTCTGCATCTGCTTCGCCATCATTGCTCGAGTTGCTCGTCGGCGTGGGCGCAATATCAAACGGCGCCAGACCCATGGCCTGCAAGCCCGCGGGCCCGCCGACCTCGGCAATCTCCGTCTCGCCCGGCCTGCCAGAGTGCGACGCCTCGCTGCCTAGACCGCTTCCCGTAGAATCAAAGTCAGGACCGGGGTGTCCGCGCTGGAAGGTCTTGCGCTGGCGAGCCAGGTACAGCGCGTTAGTCTGGGTGAGCGGGGCGGCGGGGACGTAGACGAGGATCGACACGGGTTTTGATACTGGTGACTCTGAGTCGTCATCGTCGCCATTTGCCCCAGGAGGTGGTGGTGTGGGTGCGCGGCTCGCCATGGTGTTGGGGTTGGAGGTGATGTGGTAGGCCAGATCCGGGTGCCAGACGATGTAATCGCCTGTTTGCAGGGTGGGCAGGGTGGTGAGGGTGCGGCGGAGGTGCAGGTGCGGATGCCAGAGCTCGGTGAGACGCTGGGCGTGGCCGGGGACGGCGCCGTGGATAATGGTGCTTTGCTCGGCGTCGAGAGACCAGTTGGATGCGTCAAGGAAGGCGTCCCACTCGGGACCTTCGCGGCGCTCGGGAGGCGGGTTCTTGGGCGAGAAGAAGGGGCGGAGGAGGAAGTAGGCGGTGGCGAGCTTGGGGCTGGGGAGAAGCCGTACCATGCCCGGGTCGATGGTGCTGAGAGCCACGATGCCCTGGTACATGCGGAAGATGCTGCAGGCACCGTAGCCGTTGTAGAGATCCGGGGTTGCGGTCACGCGGTAGGTGGGATCCCACGGGTCGTACTTCTCCCACTCGCCCTTGAAGACGGCGTCGTAGGTGCCTCCGCGACCGTACCCGTCTGACTCCCACCGCTCGAGACTGCCGTTGTCGACCTGGGCGATGACGGTAGAGGATGCGAAGTCGCCGAGGAGCTCCATTGCAGCCTTTTGGGCCTCTGCGGCGGCAGGGTCCTCGCTTGCCTTCTTCTCGGCAGCATCGGGGCCCACTCCGCCGATGTTGGCGCCGTGAATGCGCAGACGATCGGCATATGCAATGGGGAAGCGGGTTGCCATGCGGTCGTCGGCATCATTGTCCCAGAGCGACATGGCGAAGCGCTGTGCTTGCAGCACCTTGGGGTGGGCGCGGGTGCGCACTTGGGCAGGGCTCCAGAAGAAGTCGAAGCATGTCGGATCTTGGGGGGTGGGATCCTTGAAGTCGTGCTTGGTCTCGAGGTACTTGACGGTCTCATCTATGGCCTTTTGCGCATCGGCATGGGGCACGACGCCGCGGATGACGCCAAGACCATAGCGCTTGAGGTCGCGGGCGAAGTCTGACTTTTTGGACGGGTTGGAGATGTTGGTGAAGTCGATGCTGGGAGTGATTGACGACCCGCGCGAGGCAATGTTGTCGACCTCATCGCGTAGTGCAGCTATCAGACGGGCCCACGAAGCCTCAAGCTCCTTTTCGTGGCCGGCGACGAGACTGCGCTTGATCTGGGCAAAGCGGCTGGGAAGGGGGACGGGCTCGGTGCCGTAAAAGGAGAGCACGGGCGGTTCCATGTCGTCGCCGGCAGGGGAAGTTTGTTCTTGCTGGGTGGTGGCTTGGGTGACAGGAGAACCGCTGCTTCGGGGGCGGCCAATGTTATTGTTGCTGAGGGAGCCGGCATTCTTAAGGTCCGCCAGTGTGGCAGTCAGGGAGCGGTGCTTGAGCTTCGAGATCCTGCGGGGTCGTTGGAGATGGTTGTGTGCCGCTGAGGAGGTCCCTGTTAATGGTCCTTGTAGCGCGGCGGCGCTGTGGCTTCCGTTTCCGCTTCCGCTTCTGCTTCCACTTCCACTTGCACTTGCAACTGACGAGGACAGGATAAACTCGGGCTCGCGCTGCTGCTGAGAGGAATGTGACTGGCTGTTGTACCCCAGGTTATGGTGGGTGCATAGCGTGTGCCGCTGGCCCCCAGGGCATTGGTCGCACCGCCGGCGTGGCTCTTGGTATCCATTCAGAGAGAGTCCAGACACCACCCCTGTCCCCTTGTCCATACTACCACCACCCGGACTAAGGAAATTCGACTCTCGTGATGATCTCGTTATCCTCGTGGTAGCCGGCGTCTGAGGTGTTGTTGACACCAGCACGGCACCACCAGTTGTTGGAGTTGCCATTGTGTTGTTTCCGTGGTACTACCTGACCATCGAGGTTCCTCTCTGTTGGGTTGCGTGTAACACTTGGTGAAGATGCTGATGTCGTCTGCTGGGTATATGCTGTGTTTGTTGTCGTTGTTGTATTGTATGCTTGTATAGCATCGAGTATGGTGTGCGTGTGAGTATGAGTGTGAATATGTATGAGTACGAGTAATGAGTACTTGAAGGTGAAGAGAGAGTGGTGTGCGGGAGAGACGGGCTTCTTGTCTTGTTTCCCTTGTCGGAGACTTCTCACACAACGTTGCGTGGTCCCAGTGGTGTGGATAACAGTCTTCGGGCTCCAGTCGTTCCCCAGAAAGAGTCTCCAGTTTCTCCAGGTCTCCAAATAGGTTGACGGGCTTACCCCAGGAGGGTTGAGTGGCCAGCTAAAGAGCCAGGTTAGACCAGATGGGAGAACCTCGGCCGAATGGGGTATCGTAATCCACAATCCACCTCAGTTGCTGACAGGGACCTCGACCGACTCTTTTCAACAGTTATCATCCACCAATTTTTTTTTGAGCTGATTTTGTTCCGAGTGCCGAAGGAGATGTGTTGACCAAAGGGTAAATAAAAAAGGCGATCCAGGTGACTCTTGTGACTTTTGAAAGGGAGGGCACACGCCGTATTGGGGTGCTTGGTACTGTTTTATATGGGATCGGATATGATGGGGATCGGTATGCGTGTGGGATATGGTATGGTATGGTGGCATGCCTATGGATAAGGGAACGTGGTGGTGGCAGTAGGGAGCGTGGGCCGGGATGGCGCTGGGTTCTGGATGGATCCAATCCGGGAGCTGGGGACCATGATCCCGTTAACACACTCGTGCAGTGTATGGTAGGGAGTTGCCGGACAGGCGAGCGGTAGCAATATAAGGAAGGGGGCAGATGGTAGTGTAGATGTCGCTTTTTAGGCAAATATTGTTTCCCGAAGTCTCGCCAAACAAACGGGCCAAACAGCAAACAATGTCTCTCACTCTATCTCTCACACCAAGGTAGAAGCTATTCTCAAGCGACAACAGAACCCAAAAAGCCTAGACGCCAGTGAAGCACTCGGCGCATGTCTCTCCGTATTAGTGTAGTCCCGTTGCAAAGGTTAAGTTACCATTTCGCATGTCTTGGTGCACATTATGATCCGGTTGGCCGGGGCCCACGCCTTGCCTTGCCTTATCTCGGGAGTTAATAATGTTTCTCTTTTCTAAATTCCGACACCTCGTCGAGTGGTGATGCACTGTCTGTTGCTACAGGCACAACAGCACGATTGTGTAAGTGGATGCCATCAGACTGTCAAACCTAGAACGGTTATTTTCAGACTCTAGAGCCAAGGGGTCATTTCCAGTTTGGCCGAGATCAGAGCTCCATTTCTCGTTTCTCGTTTCTTTCCCCTTGCCAAACTCGGGACGAGACCCCGTCTCAGCAAGCATCGTGAGGTTCATGGAAAGAATGCCTGGGAGAAGAACCGACTTTTCCTATCGGCCAGATTCGGGAGGCGAGAAATGTCGGTATTGCGGTTGGACGGGGCCGCCTCTAGTAATACACGTACACCTGTACCAGTGGTGGTGGTATGTAAGACAACAAGGTAAGGTTTGTTCGATTCAATTTGCCCTGATCCAGGTCAACGGGACTGGCCCGGACACAAGATCCATCCATTCATCTTTTCAGCCACACCCACACCCACTGGCCACTGCACTCACTCACCGCACGGTTGGTTGTATTGTACTTGGTGACGGGAAGGAGGCACTTGCCCGTACTACTGTAGCAGAGATTTTCATCAGTTGGGAGCCTCGCCCGTATGGCAGTTGCAGTTGGATGTGGTCGTCGCCAATCCGCCAATGGGAAGCGACGCGGGACAGAGTTTGACAAGTCCAGCTCTTTCCTTTCGGGCCAGCCAAGCGCGAGGGCTAGCAGGAAGGAAGGGCTGCTGCTGCGCGCGAGGGGTTGTGACTTTGCGCTTTTCGATTGGCAAAGACGGATTGGAGATTGGGGGGCTGCTGGGGTTGAGGGACAACCGGGAGAGAGTGTGGGGTTCAGCTTTCCTTCCCGGGGTAATTCGTGCTCGGCGGGCTTCGCGGGCCACCTGAGTTCCGAAGTTTTGCCCATTGGCTGCGCAGAGTGGATTTTGTCGGAATCACGGCTCCGCATCGCCTGAAGAAAGTGGCACCGCCGCACGCCGGGCCGCTGTTCCAAGTCTCGGACGGATCCGAGTGAGAGATCGAGTGGCAACTCCACCAAAACTCCCAGTCCACAACACGCCATTGGTCACTGGCCGGCCCTGCAAGCCACGCCCAAGATTTCCATTTGCACCAAAAGATTCGGGTACGTACCTGCGCCAGGCACCCTTCTTTCCCCTTTTCCGCCAGGATTCGATTTGGCTTCGAACTGAATGCGCAACGTCCTTCCATTCAACCCTCCAAGGGAACCGTCACCCACCAATTTCACTGTACCACGTTCTGGCCACTGGCATTTGGGAAATCACATCCGCCGAAGAGAGAGTCTCGAGTCAATTTCTATGCTGATCAGCATTGTCTTTTTGTTCTCTTCTCGGAATCAGCTCCGCCATTGCGGGCTATGAACCTCCTTTCCAACCATCATGAGCCTCATTTCCGTACCATGGCCAGTCCCCGGCAGGCCAGTATTCTGTCGGCTGTTTTCAACTTTGTTCCCGCTTCACCTCAGCCGTTAACTTGTCAAAAGAAGCATTCTACACCCACGGAGCATCCCCCCTCCATTCCCACTTGTCCCTGCCTGTCATTGGCCAGTTAATGCTCCTTCGGCAGAGAAACCGCTTCACATCTCAGCCTCGCACCTGACACTCGACATTATCCCCGTCTCACTTTCCTCTCCTCCTCCTACTTTGGCTTGGGTCCTTCTGAGGGTCCTACATATCTGCCAGCCGAAGAGCTGGTTAAGCTGCCATAACCCCCCATCTTTACGTTATCACCACCCACCACGGCCATCTCTTCGGTTTCCAGATATGCACTTACTACACAGTCTTGTCCGCGATTTCCGCCAGTTGGATCATCTTCACTGCCGTTACATGCCGTGTCCTATCACTTACCGGCACCCGTCATTGCGCATTAATCCGTCATAAAAACCTGGTCGTGATCACAAACACCCCAGGGTTGCGGAGTTATGTGACGAGACAGGACACTCACTCCGCCAGTCTCACTCATCATCATCATCTTCATCATCAATTCGGATATGAACAGGTCATATCCAAGTGGACATATGCATCTTGCTACTACGAGGCAATCTTCGCTTGTTTCAACATATCATTTTATAAAGCTCTTTCAACGAGACCTGGACGTTGTTAAAAAGGTCCTCCGGGCCTCACAAAACCTCCGTTCTGAAAGCGTCACGGCATTCGGAAACACTCACGCGACGGGACAGCTTCCCGTAGCCATAATCTTGGTACCGAAGGTATTTTCCGCTGAAACAAGACATCGTGAGCCTCGGGATGAAACACTTGGAGACCTTGGTTCTCTCTTCTTCGACACGTGCTAGGTGCGTGCGTTGGATACGAAAACGATGGAGTTTGTTGGTTGAAGCATCACGCATACGGTGGTCCTGCATAACCGCTTCAGCCTTCGACTCGCACCATGAGACATGCCACACACTGGCTAGATGGTTTGGTTCACTAGCTTTTTTATTTACCTTGCCTCGCCTCACCTTTCCATTAGTAGCTATCAAGCGTGACGAAACCACTCGTGGGAAAAGAGTAGCGTGCGAGTGTCTTCAAACTTCCCGATCCCATCTGGGCCCCATCAGGTCATCACCACCTTCACTTGATATCCGAAAAGGGTAACATTGACAAGGCATGGGACGCTCCGAGCTCCCGGATATCTACAAGTGCGGTGGACCGGGATACGTAGGTCATGAGCTCCTGGTAATTCGTCCATCGGTTTGCAGTAAGGTAGGTAACAATACCCCAATCTCCAAGCCGATCGCACAGTAGCGTCACTGGCAAGACTCGATAGAATCCACGCTTCCACGAGGGAAACGACTCAATGTCAAAGCTTTTTGACCCAAAGACCCAGCCAACAGACCATCCTCCCACTCTCCGACTGGTGGAACCACTGGCCAACCTTGGCTACATAACAACTCCCCCGTCCCTACTTCACCTTCACACTCCCAGCAGCGGCCTGGCCTTTTTTCTCCACGGTCCACTCTTGACCCCCGTCCCTCCGCATTATCCTCTCGTGGAATCCTTTCTTGCTAGCCTGTCACAAGAACCTGGTGAGGTGAATCCCGATACTACCCTTCATGAAACTGTTTGACATTCATATTCCAATCCCCCCACGAGTAGTCAGTGGCGGTCACATACCTACCCTACCCAAAGACGTGGATATCAGCTACGTATTTGCTACCTATCTACCTACCTACATACCTTCACAATATCAAAGACAAAATCCTTGGTGTAACCAAACCCGGAAACCTTATCATCGCCTTACTTCCCCAAACATTGCATCATCGACTTTATAAATTGTCGCATATCTGCCCTAGCTGTATCTGCTACCTAAAAGACAACGTGGGTGGTGCTAGACTAGTGGATCGACTCATCGACTAACGAGATATGAACCACCGCTCGGGACCATGCATCATTCCAGGTTCCCGGTTAGCCCAGGTGACACACTCCTAGGACTGGGCAGGACAACGTTTCGGCGGAATGTGGGAGGAGATATGTAGGAGCTAGGGCGGCGATGGACAGATGGCAGGGACTGAACCAGGGACATGAAGGTTCGGCGACCTGAACCTAAACCTGAACCTGAACCTGAACCTGAACCTGAGCCTGAACCTGGGCCCAGACCTGGACCTGGTCGATGCGGAGGTACAAAGTGGATTTTCAAGTATGAGGGGACTCGCTTCAGCCTGCCTGTCTGCCCCCAAAAATAGTACGTAAGGATAAGGTGACTTGCATTTGGCGGAGACGGATCTCTTTACCTTCCCTTTTCGGGCCGGGGAAGCTTGACTGGCCAAGGTCCCAAAGAAGATGATGCCGAGGATGTTCATATGTAAGTGGGTATGTGCTGAAGTATGAGGTTTTGATCGATAAACAGAGGTACGTAAGTACGGGTATGTAGGTATATGCGGACGATGAATGTTGATAAGCAGTGATAGGGAGGTAGACGTTTGGGTTGGGGTTTATGTTATTCCTTGCCGGGACGGGCAGTAGGGCTCGTTGTCTGCCTCTCCCCTAGTAGGTAGGTATGGTATTGTCCTTGCTAGGGAAGACACCAATGGTGTTGGTATAGACCACTCACCCCAAGCCATTGCTATTTCTCTAAAACCATGATTCTGAGACGCAAGATCATCTTGATAATAAGTCGCAGAACTTACCAACTTCCATAGTACCAGTTGTGGAATATCTGAGGTCTGGCATCTAATGCCCTTCACTTTGGAAGTTCACAGGCTGATTGAAATTGAACAAGAACTTATGGCCGATACTTTGTATCGTTGAAGACGCTAGAGGTGCTCTGATTATCCAACGGTCATAGGAAGTTCCTTTGCGTGCTCCGGAATGCCTTAACAGCTTGGAAGACCGCGTCAAAGGTCCGTTACATAGTGGGGCCAGATGTCAGAGTACAAGTAGAAGCTCATGTGCAGAACCGATTGAGACCTTACGGTGGCAAGCGTGGTGGACTTGAAGTGTCCCAAAACGAGTCTCAACTGCGTCTACTGGATACCAGTGCTGTACCTAGGTAGTTAGTTTTCGATTAATAGGCTCGAAAATAGTTATCGTAAGCCAACTTGGGTCAACACTCCTATAATATGGAAGGGAAAGTGGAACGGATTGAAGCGTTGAATGAAGGATAAGTGGAAGGAGTTTAAGTAAGCAACTTCCACGTGATGTGAACAAAAAGAACATGCAGCACTGACACAATCAGCGTACATCGGCCGTACTTATTAAGTTGAAAGTTGAAATTTGGATGATGGACGGTGGGTGATGGGTTTACAGGGCAGGGAGCATCCTTCCTTCCGTTCTTCCTTTTTTTTTTTGCTTTCTTCCTTACTGCCTTCCTTCTTTCCACCTCATCCTCAACAAATCTCAATCTGCTACTGCAGTCCCATACCCTTCATTTATTTACGCAGGGGCACTCGTCCTTTTGTGTGAGAATGAAATTGTTGAGGGGCAGATTGGCTTCAGCCTCTTGGTCCTCTTTTAGATTTTCCAATGGCAGTCTGACAATCCTCTCTGGCCATGATGGTTCCCGGACATCATCTCAGGGCGACAGAATGGTGAGTGAGGTCAACCTCTCCCATCCATGGCTTCGGTATCTGGTCATCTGGTGATCTGGCTCCGCTGGCAAGGATGCAAAATAAGCCAGTCCAAGTTGGCCCAGTCCTTCCTCTAGATAGATCCCGGAGACGCTCGCTGCACATGCATAGTTTACTCGCCCGTGGAGCGGCACTGGGAGCTGCTTGTTCAATGGAAGATGTTGTTGGGTACCGTACCTACCTACCTCTAGGCAGCTCGAGACCAGTTCAGTCTCTCTGGGCATTTGAACTACATATATCACCTGCCACTCGTCCGAATTACCTTGTACCTCATCAAAGACCAAGATATCAAGTTACCTAGGTTTCCCGGAATTCATCAGCTTTTACTCCTCTCCTTGAGGCTTAGAAGCACAAACGAGCCGGCCAGCTGGCCAGCGCACCAAAGAGTTGGCGTCAAGAGTTGACAGCCAGGGCGCTGCTTAACCACGACCCAGATACCAGAGACAAAGAACCAGAGACCAGAACGTTGGAGCGGTACTATATCGACCCTTTCCGCCCCCTGGATACCTTAGGTATTTCTTCTCTCCCCCTTGGGTGAATAACCCAGCAACAGCCGCATAGCAACTAGGGGCAACCAGGGAAGCAGAACTGGCCCTCAACATCCTACGAGACGGTACGATGAAGCCATCTGGAGCTATATTTGGCCCCAGCCTGTGCTGAACACAAACATAAATAAACTCATGGCGCAAGATCCCCACTTCCCAAAGGACGGGATGCCACTGGACTGTAGTCTATGGGCAGATGAGAAACTATAAGTGATGAGGGGAGTTCGGTGGGTGGCGATCCAAAGTCTTAGTAACGAGGCCACTCAAAAGCAATTAGATGGAAGATATGGCCATTGCCGACGAGCAACAGCGTATAAAGTGCGGCAAGGAGTGCGCATCACCAGTGCCAGTATAGATTGGCAAGAGCAACGGCAGCACTCGTTAATGTGCCCGATATCGATGTGCCCAATATCGATGGACTAGTGGTGACTGGTGAGCAGGGCGTCCATATACCTTATGCTTACCTAAATTTGAATCCAGTTCGGAATCCCTTCCGCAGTCCACAGACAGCACAGAGGCATCACAGACACTCAACAACAACACCTCCATCCTCTCACCGCCATCAAGATCAAAACCAAATAGGCAATGAACACATCCATTAGAAGAACTACTTCCATCTCCTCCTTCAACTCCTCCGTATCTAGTACCAGGGTATCATTCCATGTCCTCCTATAACACCAACGCCGAAATGCCAATCCTTCCGCAAAGCAAAAATCACTGGACTGTTTAAACCGTCGAGAAGCTCATCTTCTCCTTCCCCTTCTCCTTCTCCTTCTCCTTCTCCTTCTCCGAACAGATGCTGACCCGCTGGAGTACCCGTGCCGAAATGCACATTCTGACCCAAGGTTGCACGCACAGCAGAGCCTCCTGTCCCCATTTCACCCTCCAGAATTACTCGTCGAATTCGATTCCAAAGTCGAACTCCATTTCGAACGCGTCGCGAAGCCTCTTCACGGCGTCGAGAAGCATTTCCAGGGCATCGACAAGCTTTTTCAGGGCGTCGACAAGCCTTTCCAGGGCGCCGATAAGTGCCTGCTCGTAGTGCAGCGGGAGGGGCAGGAGGAAGGGAAGCGCGAGGGTGATGGAGAGGTTATGCTAGAGTAAAAGAAGGTTTGGTTAGTAACAGTTTCTCTCAGGTTCAGATAAAGATCACTTTCAGTCGAGTATTCAATATCCAATGTCCGGTCTTCAATCTGTGGTGTCCAGCATAAAATAGAAGCTCTGCGCAAACAGGGTCGAGATGAAAATGGAGAACCTTTGAGGGCGCGTCGCATGGGTAAGGTAGGATAGATGAAAGTTGAAATCAAACTCACATAAAGACGAACAATATGTTCGCCAGCGTAGCGGTACCTGCTGGCCGCGCGCAGGGTGCTCTCGCGAGCGAGCAAGAAACAGCGAACAAGCCCAAAGGCATACGAAGACAGAGCGCCAGGACGAGGAAGACGAAGGAGCGGTTGCCAGGTTGAGGCCAGGCCAACGAGGTAGCGAATCTGGAGGTACCATCTCCACAAGCTCGCGTTTGCGAGGACGGCGCGGGCAAAACGAGCCGGAAAGCCAGCACCAGCGACCGAGCACGACTGGTAAAGAGCCCCGATGATGGGCGCGCGGGAGGGGAGAGGGGCCTGTCGAAGGAGGTAGGGCAGGAGGAGAACGAGGAGGCGCAAGCTTCTGGTCATGGTGTTCATTTTTCTGTTGCTGTTGCTTGGTTGAAGATTCGTAAATAGTGAGGAGAAATATGTGTGATGAAGTATGTCGTTCTCAAAAGTGAGATGTGGATGAGAGTATGAGAAGAGGGGGAGAAAAAAAAAGGAAGGAAGGAAATAGAAGCTACGGGAAGAGCAAGACGCGTTCGAGTAAACAAGAGGGTCACAATACCATGCGGTGAGGGGCACGAAGGATTAAGAATAGGAAAGTAAAAGAACGAAAAGTGCAAAAAAAACAACAACTACCCTCGGGAACGACCCGACACTTGTCTGAGTCGAACGCGGAACCCTAAACCAACACTTGTGGTCCTACACTTGTAGTTTGTAGGGCCTCTGCACCGCTGGTTGAGCCAACGGCGAGGGGATCTGTTGTTGGAAGTAGGGACTAAACCGTTAGCTTAAAAGGGGACTCGTTCTGCGGGCTGCCTGGTTGGCCGGGGAGAAAGGGCGGCTCAGATTTCCAAGGCTCGTTCGTCCGATGTTCGAGGTGACTGGTATGTGGTCTGGGCCCCGAACTTTTAGGACGGTCGACGGCGTCCAAATGGAAAGTACGTGAGCCAGGTGGTTTGGACGAAAGTGTCGCAACCTAGGCCCTTGCAGACCTTCCAGTCTCGGTCTTCTCCTACGAGGAAGTGAATAATCGCCGTGATTGTCTTCTGGTGGCAGTACTTTTTCATCCTGGCCCTCTTGGGGAGGCAATTTCCATGACTGTGGGAGCTCCCGAAGGAGAGGTAGCTTTGTAAGCTCCTTGATGCATGGGTCGTCGGGGATAGTAATGGGCTCTGGCGTGAGACTGTTGAGCTCCGTTCAGATGTCAGAGCTATGCTGGCCTTGAAGCTGACGTTGTAAATGTAGTTGTCCGGGAAATTGTTTCTCGTTGTCCTTGTTTTTCTGTTGAGCAATATCCTCTTTCTTGATGTCCTCGCTCTTGCTAAAGTTGCCGTTATATTCCTGTCTGTCGGCGGTGCTGTGAGAGCTGTCTTCGTCGGAATCGTCGTCTTCCACTTATTCGCCATTCTCCTGGCCATTTGGTTCATCTGACTGATCAGCGCAAACGGTGTTAGACGTGGACATACGAAGCGGCTGTGGTGTGGAAGGCTCAACGAGCTACATGAATCCGACCATGTTTGTCTAGAAGGTAGGGCGTTGCCTGTCGGAGCAAAAGACAAGCGATATTGCATTCTGAGGGCTGGACCATCGAGACAGGGGTTAAACAATGTCAAAACAACTGTTAAAATTTCAGAGCTTAACTTGGACGCTGGCCCGTCTTGGAAAAAGTGGTGCTGCTGCCGTGCTGGGCACTCTAGTCACTGACTGCGTTGTAGCGCAAACCTCGACTCCCAAATATTTTTTCCTTTTTTCTTCGGGATACTTCAAGAGAAGAGAGAGACCACTTTACACAGACTTGTCAACCTTAGCGGCACTGCCACTGTTGAAGATACGGAACCGGTATTGTTCATTTTCAAGACGGAGGGTACAGCAAGATCAAAGTCCTATGTGGTGCCAGGGTGCAAAGTGTTAGACAATGGAACTTTGGACGATGAGGACGATCAGGAAGACAAGGAGGAGGATTAAGATCAAGATTAAGACGCGAAGAGGCACATGGGATACTTGGAGTGATGGTCGAGAAGTTGGGAAGACAGTGATGTGTAAACGCACTAGTATAAGTGGCTGGGCGATGAGTAATGGCAAAGGCACGAATTGCCGTGGCATGTGAGGTTGGAAAGAAACCCTGACGAGATATCGAAGGGAACTGACTGCAGAGGTCTTGTCAGGAAGAGCTGGAAGTTTCTGGGAAAGACTCAAGTAAGATATATGTAGGCGAACGTGTGGGTCTGTCAAGAATCAGCAACGCTTGCTCTTTTGCCAAAACAAGCAATGCAATCATCAGGCATAAAAGGTGTTTGGTGATTGGAAACTTGCGCAATAAGCAACGATAGATGAGTCCCTCAGTGGGAGATAACTGAGACAGATGATAACAGTCTTTCGAAGACGAGCTCGCGCTCGTCGGACGAGCCACGGTTTCTAGTACGTCGATAAGCCCTGCTATCTCCTGTAGAGTAAATGAGATAGCGGGTTGGGAGAGGGGAGGACAGACATAGGATGGTGTTGCGATGGAAAGCGCGTAAGATGAGACTTGCCGTCTACCAGGCGGTAGTAACTGAAGCCTGCCACCACGGCGATGGATGTGCAACATAATGTCACGAAGGCAGTGACTGATGTCCAGTCTTTCTTCATTTCCAGGAGATAACAGCGGGCTTCTCTGCTCCGCACCTGGCAGAGGTTTTCGTGTTCTGCAATTGGCATGGTCGTACCGAATTGGTTTACGTTACCCCCCCTCCTCCACCACTCCCCCCTGCAGTACTGCAGCGCGAGGAAGGGTATGGGGACGTGGAGGAGGGAGTAGCCGAATCAATTCCTTCTATAATGAAGAAGTATTAGAATGTAATGGATATAAGCTTATGTTTATATATGTACCTGCCTTTACATCTCGCACGATGTGGGCACTGCACACGAGCCCTGGGCAGACACTCGCGCATTCCCCCGGCAAGCAAGTTGTATCTGATTCCCTACAGGAGGAAGGCGCCAGTGTCTGACACCCGTCCTACCATCACAAACTCTCGATAATCAGGAAAGTTTGGAATTGCTTGATGTGATGTGATGTGAACTGATGCTTCATTAAAATTCCAAATGTACCATGGGTAACTGAACTTCATCAAGCCGCCAGTACCGGTTGACATCAACAGTCCGGCGACATCCATGATCCCTTCTTCCCCATCTCATTACCATCCATACTAATACAAGTTGTACACTCCTCCTTTATATCCCATTGCAGTCCAGTCCAGTCCGGTTCCTCACCATCTCCTGTATGACCATTGCGAAATCACCCCGTCCAAAAACTCCTCATCCAATCCTCATTCCTCCTAGCCCATCCCCTCAATTCCTCAACAGAGTCAAGTCAGACCTTATTCCCGCCATAATCCTTGCTATCCTTTCTCCCCGCGCCCGTCGTGTGTCCCTCGGGCGCCGTGCCCGTCTTCTCGGGGTTACGCTTCGAGTGCGCCGCGGGCGAATGGCCGACGACGCGCGTGTCCTTGGGATCCTCCTCGAGCGGGCCCTTGCGCGCGTAGGTGCCGCCTGTGCCGCCAATGTTCTGCAGGTGCTCGCTGATGGTGGCGTTGCCCGTGTCGTTGGCCGCGTACTTCTCCGACACGCCGCGGGGCTGGTTCTTGCCGCCGCGCGTCTGCCACCAGAAGATGCCGCCGAGGCCGCCGGCGATGCCGAGCGGGACGGCGCGGGAGCGGAGGAGGTTGGCTGTGGTTGCCATTTTTGTGTTATGTGTGATGTTGTGGTGTGTGGTGGTTAAGTTTTGGTGTGGATGTGAGTGTTGTTGGTGTTGGTTTGTTGTGACCAAGCTAGGTGCGAGAGATTGCTTGTGCTTGATGTGGGAGGATTCTTGATTCTATTCGCTTTTGTGTTCGAAGACGATGACACGAATTCGAGCAGTAATTGGTAGATAGATGTGATGTTTGATTTGTGATGTTGTAGGATTGATAACGGACGTTCTATCCGGGAGGTCGTTTGGTTAAATAATGAGAGGGGGTTTGGAAGTGGGATGACGTGTTGTAATGATGATCTCACCCGCCGGTACGGTACAACTACTGATGGAATGCAGTGGGGCTAGACCTTTGCAAGTATCCTTTGCAGTGAAGGGCAGTGACTCCCTTCGTAACAATGTTCACAAAGAGAGCCTCGAACATGGGAATCGAATTCCGATGGGTCCGGGTTGCACACTCGATAGAGATCCTCAACTTCCAAGATGTTTGGGATCTGGACCAGGAACAGCACCGAAATGTAAGTGGAGCTTTCCAACTGAGCATAAGTTGAGGCTTAACTACCCCAGAGATCAACCCATTGAAGCCGATAATGGATGTCTCTGGTGGTGTTGTTCACTGACAGTTGACGTCAAACGCTTGCGTGACATCATGACTTTGTCCAGCACGGTCCCACTGTTAGGGGGTGACCCCTTTAGTCTTAACCCATTGCGCCGCAAGTCCACTGATAGACGGCAATAATCATGTGAGCATTGCCGGCTTGAACGGATGATACAATTCGGTTGGTTTCAAGTGTATGACCGTCAAGATTTAGGCTTTCGAACAGACAAAATTGACGTCGGTGCCAATGCTGTGCAGTCGCCCTCTTGGTGCTGTCCAGGTCCAGCACTAGCAACAACAGACCCCTTATCTTATCGGGGGCGAGACCTCTCGTCTCCTTTCGGCCGACTCCTTCAAGACACCATGGACCCATCCCGAATGCCCAATTTACACATCTTGCTACTGCTTGAAAATATTCATTATGATGATGATGAGCTGAGTGAGTTTGTGGAAGTCACGAAAATATGGTCGTCTAATCCTTTTTCTCACCCCCTTCAACACTAACCGGTTCCATCACCGGCGTCGGAGCCTTCAACGACCCAGAACACCTCGGCGGCGAGCGCCCATGCAGAACGCAGTCATTCGTGTATAATCCCTCCTCATCCACGTCCTCCAAATACTTGAGATCCAGTCCCCTAATCTCCGAATCCTCGCTCGCGCGCAAGTGCAAGCCAGGGATCCTGTTGATGATGAAGAGCAAGATGCACGAAACCACAAAAGACCAGGCTGCGGCTGTGGTGGCGCCGGCGAACTGAAGTCCAAGCTGGCGGAAGTTGCGGTTCCACCAGCCTCCGGCATATGAGCTGCCGGATACGCCGTCAAGAGCAGGGATAAAGTTATCGGCGAAGATGCCTGTCAAGAGATCACCGACGTAGCCGCCAACACCGTGGAGAGCAAAGATGTCGAGGCCGTCGTCGACCGAGAGAAGATGCTTGTATTTGACGGCATAGTAACAGCATGTGGCGGTAAGAAAGCCGATGAGGGAGGCGACGTAGACGGGGACTGCCAAAGGCTGGAGTCAGTCAAACCATCATTGTAGGTAGCCCGAGGAACAAGAAAGGGAGAACGCACCATAACCCGCTGCAGGGGTGATTCCCACCAAGCCCGCAATAATACCCGAGCAGAAGCCAACCAAACTAAACTTTCTCTTGTAGAGATAGTCGATCAAGACCCAACCGACACCACCTCCGCACCCTGCAAGGTTGGTGTTGACGACGACATAGATGGACCGCAGGCTGAGGTTGGCTGTACTAGCGCCATTGAAGGCGAACCAGCCGAACCAAATGAAGGCGGTACCGAGACACATCAACAACGGGCTATGCGGCTTGTGGTGAGCGAACTTCTTACGGCCATCGGCATCGGCATCGATGACACGAGGACCAAGCATCATGGACCACGCAAGGGCCCCAAAGCCGCTGGCGATGTGAACGGGACCAGAACCGGCAAAATCGTAAACCCCGAGTTTGTATAACCATCCGCTGGGATTCCACTCCCAATATGCGAGGCTGGAGAAAGAGAAAAGTCAGTGGATGTCTGTTAGGTTGGGTTGTTGGCGATGGAACTCACAAGTAGTAGACAAAAGTTGTCCAGCAGAGAAGGAAAAGCATGCTAGGCAACAGTCTGCCGCGCTCCAGCATGGCTCCGGCCAAGATCATGGCAGTGCAGGAAACGAATGTGAAGCCAAAGGCAGCGTCTGAGATAATGGTTAGTCCAAGAGGTCCTCCATGAAGTAGGACACAGAGAAGGGGCCATACAGAGAATGTCGGGAATATCTGGGTTCGCCAGTGATGGCTGGGCAAGGACATTGCGGAACACGGCCAGCGACAAGTCTCCGAGGATGGGGTTTGTTGTTCGTGCCTGATACAGCGAGTAACCGTATAGCCAGAACTGGATTCCGCAAGCGCAAGCACAGAAGAGACTTTGCAGGACCATAGTTAGAGCTGCCTTCCTTCGGTGCATTCCAGCATAGAGGAAGCCGATGGCCGGGGTGATTTGCCAGCACAGGGCAGTGCATACGAGAATCCAACACAGATCGCCCTAGATGGTGTGATACTCCCGGTTAGTTGCTTGTTTCTTTCCTCCATTTGATCTTGCCAGTACTCAAGATCGTCAGCTAACCTTGTCATAGGGCGCATTTAGGTCTTGGGTGAAGGGATCGCCTCCATTGGGATTGGCATGCCAGTCCGGCCACTCGGTGACGGGCGTAATTTCTGGCTCGGCCATCTTGTACCACCCGTATGTATGGTGTAGGGGGAGGTGTGGTTATCGTCCTTTTGTGGTTTGTATGTTGTGTTCTTATCCGAGACTTCGAGGACTGTCTTCAAGGTGTCTGGTTGACCAACCTCAAAAAGTGCAGATGCCAGTTGCAAGGAGGCGCACAGGCTGCCATGGCCTATAAGTATTCCTTTGCTCCATCATCTTCACATGGGCGCCGTTGCGCTGGATCGTGTATCATGCAGCAAAAGAGATACGCAAAGCAGAGTGCGTGGCACTCGGGCGAGACCATTCTTGGAAAGGTGGACGGTTCGATCGTCGTCGACAGCAGATAAGGACTCGAAAGACACACACCCTTTGGGATGCCAAGCTGTAGCTGAACGGCGAGGAGGATAAGGAGGCTCGCAATCCCCCAATCCCATAGCCAGATGGTCGGCGTTATCAATGGCTACCTATCAACACAGACTCGTCAGCAGAGAACGTCGAGCGAGGTCGCATTATCAGCCCCCACGAGGACGGCCAGGCATTGCCAAGGGAAGACAAGAGTCGACAAGCCGAGACAAGCACCAACTAACCTTCTGGGGGATCTCCCGCTTGGCGAAAACCGGCAAGACCTCCCGCAACGGGGAGCCTGGGAATGGAACGTCGACACGCACTCCAACGCCTTGAATGGTCGGCCACAGGGACAGACCCTGAATGTGTGTTGGGATGGTTTGGGTGGTGAGAAACAGTTGCCGGTCTCTTGCACCAAATTCGGTTTAGGCCAATGGCTTCCGCTCCAATGTGGAAGTGGTTGCAGATATGCAGGAGCTGGACTGGACCACTGCCCGTGGTGGCTGCCGAGCGATAAGACAAGACGACATGCTGATAAGCACCTTGTAACGGGCTGGAAGTGCCGCCATGAGGCTTTCCAACCTACCAATGACACTCCAATCTTACTCACAAGGAACCAGACACTCTCCAATCTGCTTTTGACGTCACTCTGGTTCCCAACTCGTCCAAAATGTCCTTGAGGTTTCCTTGACGACAACTGAACCGACAAACAACAGGCAGCGGCGTCGCAACTCGCAACACCCAACCCACATGCCATGTTCTCCCTCGCTCAGTGCCTGTTTCTTACAAGTATCTGCGGCTGAGTAGTCGACCAATAAGTTT